TGTGATTGGACCAAAGCGTTGACACACACAGGTGGAACACAGTGGAACAGTCAGACATGCAGAGCGCTGTTTGCAGTGGACATAGCGGAGAATTTTGACTCGTTGCGAATGCGTTGTGGCGATGTCTCACATATAATACAGAGAGATAATACATATGAAAAGTATAATTTGCTCAGAGTCCGGAGACAGTGGTGGTTCGGTCCGGATCCGGACCGGAGTCCGTAGTTTGAGGATGCCTGACCTAGACAGTGAGAGGGAGGGGCAGAATCGGGTTTTGTCCCCCATGGCTCTAAACAGCTCAATAGGCACACACTGTAGACACTAATTAGAAGAACACATACTAAAACAGCAATGTACAGACGAATCAGATGATTAAACATGATCTTAAAATATATTTTATATATTTTTTTTTTGCATTTTGTTGTAATCATTATTTGTAATACTTTCTGCTGACACTAGGTGGGGCTGTGCCCCACCTGCCCCTAATGACCAGTCGCCACTGGGCCTATAGTGGAAACAGTGATCATGCTTCTCTGGGTCAAATTGATAAATGCAGATAATTATAACCATTTTCTCTTTCTTTATACTATCTTATTGACTGTTTTTTTTATTGTATTATATGACTATCATTATAAGGGAAACAATGATTTTAGGCCTGTTGAATTGACATCCATTGTCATGAAATGTTTTGAGAGGATCATGGTGCCACTGCTAAAGAAAGAGGTTGATGTACATTTAGACCCTTTTCAGTTTGTCTTCAAGCAAGGGCGTGGCACAGACGATGCTCTAAATAGCATCACACACCTGGTCACTAAACACCTGGAAGACTCTAAGGCATATGTACGCCTAGTACTACTATGAACAAAACAAAGCCAAGAACAGTTTTGACTCTCGTCAAGCGCCATCATTTCTATGATGAAGTTAGAGATCGTTTTAGCCCTGGGGTCGTCTCTGGCAAACGTCTTGCGTTTTTCAAAAGCCTCGTCGATAGGTAAAAGCCCCGGTGCCTTTGCAGCTGGCTTTGGATTCGCTGCTAGTTTAGCAGCACAGGCGTCTTCGTACGCTTTTAACACACCATCGTAGCGATGGCGATGTTTCAGGTGACTAATCAGGTTGGAAGTATTATAGCTCGTTGCCTTTTTCCCTCCTCGTGGAACTTCTGCATTGCATTTGTTAATACAAATAGCAAGCGAACTATCTAACTCTGAAACTTTGAAATAGTCCCATACTACTGGCGACATGTTTGTTTACTGTCCTGGCTTCACGGCCGCACACCATTTACGTCACAGCCAGGCATGAGTTAGGGAGCGCTGGATTTGTGAAAAACTCCCCTCTTCCTAAACCACTAATACCACAGTACTGGCAAAACGGGAGGAACCGAGTAAAAAACAAGCGCCCCTCATCCCAATCCACCCACACCGCAGTATTTTTTTCTTTTTTTACCCAAAAAATATATTCTATATTATCGGGGCTATTATACTGTTATCGGGTTTATCGGGATGACGTCATAATTCCTAATATCGGACCGATAATTATCGTGCACCACTATCTATTATCAATTCAGGTTAAGAAACTAGTGTTGCTTGCTTGCATCCTATTTTAAAGGCATTTATTTTTATATTCTACTAAAATGCAACAAAAAAATTGTTTGATTCTATTAATTTTGTCTTATTTATTGCACTTTGGCAGCAGATTCCTGTGTAGCTTCAGATCTGAGTTGTCTTATTAGTAAGCCGAATGTATACTTTTGTAGCAACACTATTTTTATATAATGGCAAAGAAAGGGTTCAGAGTCTTTTCTTGTTTTCCTGTGTCATATGTGGCAGCACTGTTCAATGTTTCTTGAAAACATTACCCACTGTAGTGTGACGTGTGAATAAACTCCAACTCTGTATCAACAACACTGTTGTGTAACTTCAGTTAAATACTTGTGTGTGTGTAGATTAGAAAGAGGTAAGATAAAGGAGCTGCAGTATTTTATGAAGTATTAATCGTACGAAGGTCAGTTTTATACAAGTAGAAGTGTGTATTTACCTGGTAGGCTGTCAGTAATGGCTACGCCTCTCTATTTGGACTGGTAGATCTCGGCAGACTGGCAACTTTAAAAGTAGCTCTCGGTTCAAAAAAGGTTGGGCACCCCTGCCTTACATTCATAATGTCAGCGGAGGGAGGGGAAGCGGCGCTGTGGAAGAGCAGAGTGGGGAGTGAGAGGCGAGCTGTGTTCTTCCCTTTACAAGCTTCAGAAATGCCTGTAGCTAATGAGATTGAATATAACAATCAAAAATAACAAAATATACACACAGCTAGATCAGATGGCGTTCTTTTTAGATGCGACTTTAGAGTAGAGGGGAATTATTGAAACGGGATGTGTAGGCTACAGTGTTCCGCGGCATCCGCTGCTGTGAAAATGTGGGGCAGTGCCGTAAAGTGGGGGGGGGGGGCAATGGCCCCCCCGCTTCCGGCGCCCTTGACGCCTACTGTTTGTGGATTTCAGCTCGGCTTTTAACACACTGCAGCCTCACATCTTGCTTCAAAAACTGATAAAGATCAGTATAAATCCTTTTATCTTGAAATGGTATTTTTCGTTTTTAACCAATCGCACTCAGCATGCAGGGTCAACAATGCCCTCTCAGAGCCCCGGACCATCAGTACAGGAGCCCCACAGGGTTGTGTGAGCTCCCCGGTCCTCTACACACTGTACACAAACGACTGTACGAGAATCCACCCGGAGAATTATATCATCAAATTCTCAGATGATACAGCCATCCTTGGCTTAATGCACAAAGGCAGCAGTTCATCGGCTTTCACTCTGAAATAGAGAGATTTGTGCAGTGGTGTGATGTTAACCATCTAGTGCTGAATGTGAAGAAGACTGAGGAGATGGTGTGGGACCCAAAGGCATGTGGGTGACCTTAGGCCGGTGGTTATCCACAATGAAGCCATAACTCAGGTCAGCTCCTATAAGTACCTTGGTGTACATCAAGATAATACACTCAGCTGGAAGGCGCATGTTCAAGGTCTGTGCTCTAGACTTCAACAGCGATTGTACTTTCTGTGTCGACTCCGGGCTTTCGGAGTCGACCAGAAGTTCATGTTACTGTTCTATCATGCAGGGTTGGAGAGCATCATTAGGTATGGTATTACTGCCTGGTATGGTAACTAGTGTTAATTTCGTCAGCTATTTTTTTATTTAGTTTTAGTCTTAGTCCTTTGTTAAATGTCCTTTTTAGTTTTAGTCATATTTAGTCACCTTCATCCTGCTTTTATTTAGTCAAGTTTTAGTCGACTAAAAGTCTGAGCATTTTAGTCTTATTTTAGTCAAAGAAAACTAATTATTTTAGTCTACTTTTTGTCAATGAAAACTGTTGAGTCTTTTTTAGTCATCAGATTATATAGAACATTTCAGTCAAACTAGTCTAGCCAAAACCAATAATTTGTCATTTTAGCATATATAAATAAATAAGATTATATCTTGTCCTTATTTGATGAAAAACACAGGTTGAATGATTAAGAAAGCAGCTTTGCAGAGAGTATCTGGTCAGGTTTGTGGTGTTTTTACCAGCTGTGTTATGGCCGCATTGCTTCCCTTCTGATGAAACAATGCATTCGCTTTTTTTCTCCGCCTCATTGTCGCGAAAATGGGCCCAAATATCACATCGTTTCTTTCTCCCAAGCAATGGTGGCTTTAGACTTTTTCGTTGTCAGTCATTTTGACGGACAGGATCGTAACATTTCCGTCATAATCCATTACTACCCGTCGAGTACACAATTTATCACTCACTCGCGCTGACGGGGGGGTATTCGGTTAACGCGAGTGCGACCACTGCTCCCAAGCCCTGTTGTTGCCATTTTATTTTCTGTTAAATAAGGTTAGTTAGACCATGAGTTAGACCCGAGTCTTCCTGACAGTTCATATTGTGCCGCTGCCCGGTGTAATTCAAATGTACCGCCGCGCGCAGCACAGACACACAGCTGCTGCCCTGCCGCAGCGCTGGATAATGGAACTGCTGGGAGAAAAACGGACTATCAGAAATGTAACGTTATCTTTGATAATATTTCGTCTCCTCATTTTTCGTCAACGAAAGTAAAGAGAGATTTTGGCATAGTTTTCATTTAGTAAACTACATTTTCGTCTCGTCACTTTTCGTCAACGATATTGCATGATGATTTCGTTGCAGTTATTGTTTACTGCCGTCGGTGCCGTCTCGTCTCGTCATCGTCTCGTTTTCGTCATGGAAAAAAAGGTCGTTGACGAACATATTTCGTCATTGTTTTAGTCAACGAAATTAACACTAATGGTAACTTGACAGTGCAGTCAAAGGTCGCTCGCCTGGTACAGACTGCTATGAAAATGATGGGGGTTAAAAAAACACCCATCTCTCCAAAACATATACGATCAGTCCATTATCAGACAGGCAAACAAAATTGTGTCTGATCCCACCCACATACTTCACCCAGAATTCCAGCTCCTACCTTCTGGTAGAAGATACAGGGTTCCCAAGAGCAGGCTGAACAGCTACAAGCACTCATTCCTGCCTATGTCCATTAAGCTTCTTAACATTCACATGAAATGAAGTCAAATGTAATGAAACGTACTTTTTTAAATGTTGGCCATGAGGGGTAGTGCAATAGGTCGCCATTGTCAGTATGTGCGTCTGTGTATTGTGTTTGTTCAAACGGTGTATGACTGAAGATATGTGTATGTCTCTTAATGTCCACTATGTTTGTATATGTACATGTATGTGGAACTGCAGGACGGAGTCCAGAACAAATGTCCTTACGGGGACAATAAAGTATATCGTTTCGTATCTATCATGAGACTTATACAAATTTCAATTTACTTTGCAAAAATACTGTACTGTAGTATGGAGTACTTGATTACAAATAAGAAAAATATTGAAACAGCATTTATAAGAATGATTCAGTTCAAAATGTTCATAAACCGAGTGATATAAAAATTGTCCACTGTACTGTATAATAATACTGTTCATGTAACCTTCAACAAGCAATGTACGTTTTAATGTGTTTACAAAGGTATCATCTTTTATTCATGAAAACACTTTTTGGATGTTGAAATGACATTACATTTAAATAGAAACAAGATATCCAGCCTTTTCTTCTTTTCAAATCTGTGTCCAGCACAGAGACTGAACACACCTCAAAGGCACAGGAAACATCAGAATCGAGAACACTTGATCCACTGATAGTAACCACTGTGTTTAGATAAAGTACCGAGGACCCAAACTCCAAACCAAACAGTTGTAAAGTACGGTTCAGGATCACATCGTACTTCAGAACTGAACCTGCAGGAAGCAGTTAGTTGGAGATTTAAGTAAAGATAGGCCTAAACTGTAAGATATCATTTCCTACATTTAAGAGAAAAAACAATTCTAGTAACTGAGTAAAATTAAACTCGATTAAACAAATATTTGTGGGTAAATCCAGGTTTTAAAGAGAAAAAAGCTATTACAGAAAATTACCCATTTCTCTGGGTTGGCTTGGGTTCAAATATTGTAAACACAAATATAATATGTCTAGTCATTTTTAGACATTTTAATGCCATAATGATACATATAAGTTTAAGCACTACATACATTGATATATGATCTTATAAAGACTCCAACAAAGGCAAATATGTTAGCTAACAGTAGCGTTATTTCACATTTCAGCATTCAATTAAAGTGGTGTTTCTGGCCATCAGCAAATAAAAGTTGAACATGTAGTTAGCTCCTCCAACAGGACACATGTTGACCGTATGCTACTGTTCCCTAAACAGGGTGAAAGAACACCAGCGCTTATTGTCACCCTGTTTTAAATCCCTTCGTTTCTCTTGAATGAAGCCGCAGAAGGCGCAGCGTGACACTGGGATATTTGACCTTTCTGAAACTCCTGAGCCGGAGTAAAGTAAGGGACCATCACCGTGTGAAACCTTATGATGGGTTATGTGCCTGTAGCCGTTGTTAAAACATGAGCTCACAGTAAAGCTTCTCGGGTCCAGATGAAGGTGCCCTTAGAGCCAAACCATTTCACACTGATCATCAATCTTTATGAACCATCAACATACCTTTATTCCCTTTCTTGCTAAGAGGATTAATATCACTGTTATATCAGCCTGTTAAACATAACGCTACAGCCAGGAGATGGTAAGCGTAGCATTAAGCTAACCTAGCTCAGTGCAATGGTAGCGAAACACATGATGTCCTTTTTGTTAAATGCATACAAAGAGCAGTGTAAAATGAGACCTTATCAGGTCAATTGTAAATATTTTGAAAATGGCAGTTTCATTTGCACACTGCTTTAGAGGTGGTGGAAAGACGTTTTGTTTCACATTTAGGCCAGTCTTTGAAGCAAAGCATCAGATATGCCGTCAAGGACTATAAAAGTATATTTAATAAAACAGAAGATACACTGTTGAAATATAGAAATGACCAGTTGGGCAGTGAACAGATGCATTTAGGTGCAAGTCGTATTGTGATAGTGTGGCAGTGCTTTGTGTGGCATGTTTATATAGTTATGTATATAACATTGCTCCGTATTGAAAGGCGTGTTCTGTTGTTGACCGAGTAACAAACCGGCACAGCTGTGTGGAGTTAAGTAGATAACATTATTAGAGTGAATTTCTTAACTATCAAATGGATCCATTTCCTAGCTATTTCTTTTTTTTGCCATTCTCATCAACCGCCTAAAACTTGGTGTAAATTTGTCAGCACAACGAAGCTCAACAATTCTCACCACAGGAAAAGAAATGGTAGCATCCAAAGCTTTTTTTTCACAATATAAAGCTTTCTTTTTCCTCCTGAGATGACAATAAGTGAAATGCTCTCGCCTAAACCTATCTGATGTACTCTTGTGATCTAACTGTTTTATCCAGCGAGTGCAAAGTGTGGGAGAAGTGGAGGAAAGCCTCTGAGACCTGTGTTTGAAAATATAAAGAGTACAGCTCTGATCAGAACAACTGGATTCAGTGTTGAGATCAGTGGAAAGATCCCAACAGTTCATGTCTAGAATGCATTTGAACACAGCACTGTTTATAAATCCTGCCGTCATCTAGCTGTACATTACAAAGCATTTTATGATGACTTATATTGTTTTGTTGTTTCAAGGATTGTAGTGAATTATAAATCCCATAACTGTTATACATTATAACCACTCATAATGCGATTACACTGAGAGCTCATTGGTTGCTTCGAGTCACAATTCATCTTAGGTTTAGGGTGTTGTTTTTGCATAGATTTAATTATTTTGTAACTCAAAGCAAAGAACAAACAATTAGAGTACCTTATAATGACATAACATTATGCATATTAATGAGGGCTTCTAATTCTAATTATACAGTGCGATAAGCGGATAATCAAGCTTTATAGACTGGATTGTGAAATAACTCTAATTATGGGTCCTAGTAATCTCTTCACAATGTCTGACAGAAAGGCAGTGAGCAGCAAACACACACTCAGAACAGGGGGGCTCAGTGCGAGTACACACACACACAAAGTACAAGGCAGGTTTAAAGCAGTGACGCATTAGTAAAGCTACGTGTGGAAAATACATTTCACTCCATTTACATGTGAAGTAGGTAAAATAAAAAAGAGAATTTACACTGTACAATACATCATTTGCTAACTAAAGGGAGAGAGAAGGTGAGGAGCTAGAACTGCTCAGAGAGGAGGTCACACAGTCTCTGAGACACCGACTCCCTGCTGGTCCTCAGCGTCAGGCGGTACATCTGCAGGGGGACAGCACAGTTACACAGAGACATGGGGGGGTACTGCAGAGCCACGGTTATTACACTAAACCATTACACTTGTGTTTTTAAGTATGTATTTGATGCCCCTTGTAGCACTTGGGGATTGCTCTTAGCAATGAAAGGTGCTTTACAAATAATTACTATTACACTGCTTAGTTGAATACTAAGTTCTGATGGTACATTTGGACACTGCAGAGGTCTGGTAGGAGAACACATCGTTTCTGAGAAGGATCAAGGATGTGTAGTCGTATCAATCGGCAGAAAGAAGTCTGGACAATGTAATGTCAGCTGTGGACAATCCACGTTAGCATTCTCCAACGAAAAGCACCATTCTTTTTTAATATTCATTTTCATATTTGTGGAGAGCAGGAAGCTTAGGATCCATGATGCTGTCGCCGCAGTCTAGTGAGCGTGACGCAGTGGAACACACTTCCTTTATGAGCGGAAGCAGTATGATCATTTTGAAATCAATGAAATCATTTTATATCAATATTGTGAGTCAAGAGTTTGGTTTATTTAGTACGTAGCTGTGTAATAAGCGGGATAATGTGCAGCGAGGCGGTCATTAATAAAAAAATAACGCCCACAAGGTGAGCAGAACCATCTGATCTGCTCCCCCTGTGGGTGTTCTGATCATTACAGGTTCTACAAAGGTTATCAACTCAAGCTTTCTTCCCCAGGCTCTGTGAGCCGTCACATAAAGGGGGCGCTTAGTGACTTTGACTCTTTTACCATACCAAATGGCTTGTTTAAACTTCCGCCTTATAAGATCATTAGAAAAAGATTACGGCAGACAACGTGTTGCTATACATAAGATGGGAAAGCTTTCAGAAATGTACTACTCGTTTAAATTCACAAGTTGTAATATATATATATATATATATATATCGTTGAAATATGTATCTTCATTTTATTCCAACACACATTGCAAACCCACTTAAGGTTGATGGTACAAAACAAGGACAGATGAGTGTGTGTGTGTGTGTGTGTGTGTGTGCGTGTGTGTGTGTGTGTGTACCTCTGCCTGTGGGTTGGGCTCCAGCCTGAGGAGGCAGCCCACCTGAGTGTTCTTGGTGTGAATGACTCCAGCTCCCACAAAGTTTGCAGGATTGGGATCCACCCCAGAGAGCAGAGCTACCCCAAAACCTAAGATCTGCAGAGTAAGTTACAGAAGAGAAGATGACAAAATAAACATGAAATATCACTCACCAACCAGTGAAGGAGGGGTTTACATCCCTGTCTGCCATAAACGGCCCAGTACTCATCATACGATATGATAATACTATGTGGTCAGAAAAAGTTAGAATTGTGTTTTGTGATGCTGACCATCACCTTGGACCACCAAAATCAGTAAGTGTAGTCTTAAAGAGGCCCTGTTCTGCTTTTTGGAGTGTTCCCTTCCCTGTAGTGTGTAGGTTATTGTGCATGTAAATGGTCTGCGAAGGCTAAAATCCAGTGGCGAACCGTGTGTATCACAACTGAACCTTCTGTAGACACCACCCCCCATTATAATGTCCGTCTTTTCACTGAATTATCGTCTTGAAAAGGGTACTCACAACAATTCCGCAACAACTTCATCTCCACCTGTTGCACTTGTAATTTCAACGTTAAAAACAATAAAACGGCATGAATTGCTTCGTCGCATTCATAGATCCTCTGTCTCGAGCCAGTTACCTAGAGGGCCTTCTAGAATACCCTGGAACCGAGGGGAACTCTGAAAGAATACGCCCATTGGCTACAAATCAATATATGATTGGTTGGTCAAACTGTCAGTCCAAACGTAGGCTCTCATTCAGTGCAACGGCCAGGGCATTCTATCAAGGATGTAGAATACTTTGGTTGAAGGATATTCTACCCAGAGACCCAGAACAAGATCTGATTGGTTGCTTTCTTTTCTAACACAAAACCACTGAAATGAGTAGTGCATGGTCCGAGAAGGACAAACAAATCAACGTAACACTGTAATATGGGAGTTTATAATACAAGTCTGGTTGGAGTACCAGATGAACGAGTTGTTTGGTAAACAGTAGAAATACTGCGCTCATGTTGGAAAGTGATCTACCAGGAAAGTGTGTTTGCAAGTCTGTGATTGGTCAATGCAGTGGCTCACTTGGATTACGTCATATCGCATTGCAGAAAGAGTTGAGCTGAAGTCAACTACAACGTGGCCTTAATGGACCCTGACTCAAGATGTGGATTGACTTTTATATCCTGGCTGACCAACCCTATCGGCTAACCAGTGTTACAGAGATGGTCACAAAACATTCATGTTGGTGCAGATGGTTAACTGCAGAACATTATCTGCAATCTTTTTGTTTCTTATTTGAAATTTTAAAAAAGGCACTCGAAACCATTTGAGGGCCGCTTAAACTTTCACCTGGTTACAAAACTACTGTAGCTGCTATAAATTCAGTGAACCGTTAAATGATCTGTTCAGTCTCTCGAGTGGTGAAACAGCTCACATTACAGCATTTCAAGATGAGTCCTACACCCCCCCCCCACACACACAGTGGTTTCATGTACAGTGAAGCAGTTTTTTGTACCTTGGCGTTGGTAACGTCTGTGTCCATGGGGTGTTGGGCTTTGAAGATTGTCTGGACCTCTTGCTGAGGACTGAGGAGACAGAAGAGAGACAACATAATGACTTATTAAAGGGTGAAAACTTTATTTAAAGGAATATTTCTACAACAAAAGTATAGGTTGTTCATCCTTTACTTTAATAATTTTCTTTACAAATTCAAGTTAATGGTGGGTGAGAACCAATTGTAATGTTGTGGATTAAGCATTCTTTTAATATGAATTAGGTACAGGTAATTTAACCTAAAGTTTAGGAGAACGGTCAGAAGCAGCTCAAAATAAAAGGCCAGCTACCCGAGTGTTGCACAATGTTTGGCCTGGATAATCCAGATGTTTTATCATCTTGGAACAACATCTAATATAGAGCCGGCCATCTGAACCTTTGTATTACTCAATATAAAGATTATTTATTTGGTAAATTAATACATTATTTGGTCCATAATTCATTTAAAAGAAAATCCCATTTCTCAAAGCCAAAGTTAACATATTAAAATAGCTTCTTTGAGATAAAAAAGTAAATATATTTGACACATTTAGCTTATGGAAGATAAAAGAAGCAATGTGTGTCGTCAGTACTAAATCCTACCTATTGCATTAGTAATCGCAATATGAGAACGTGATTAAAATAATATGCTTATGAATGGACTAACGTAGTAGTGTCTTACAGGCCGACAACATGAAGGAGATCAGATTTAATTAGAGGTGGGGGAGGCCAAAAATGTTTGCCAAAATTGAAGCGCAGGTGAGGCCGCACTGCAAGCCACCATCTTGGATGATCACTCAAAATAAAAGAGGCAATGTGTAAACACTGCGTAGTACCCCTCAATGCAGTGCGCAATGCCTCAATGAGCTCAACGTGGGCGGGAGCTCAACCTTTGAGGCATGTGATGTCCCGACTCCCGTGTTGTGTACTTACCCAGTCACAAAGTAACATATTATATCTTATATTATTCAGTGCTTGAATTGGAATGAAAAAGGTGCCAGTACTCTAAAATCAGCAACTTTTTCAAGTCCATTTTATATATACAGCCCACAAACAAGAATTTGGCTACTATAATGCTGGTGGGTTTGTCTCTTTACTACTGTATATTTTAGAAAGGTTCACTGTACTTAACATTTTTTATGATAGGCAGCGGATATGGCTAAAGCTCAGTAAGGTCAATATTAACTGAAAATATAGCAATCAAAGTCTAGATCTTCTGCTGAAGACACATGAAGCAGAGACCTTTCAGGTGAGAGCCCCTCTGGTGGTGTTCAACATTAATGACAAGGAAACAAAGCTCTGGTCAGAAGCATTTTTTATAAAAAGCTTTAACAAAGTTAAGTATTTCTGTACATTTTGAATGCAATCTAACTTTCCAACTCAGAAAACGACAAACGAAAAAGTGCCAAAAGTCTTCTCACATGGCTGAGCTGCTTTGCAATATACTTCACCACTGAAGAATACAAATATGTATAAAGTAAACTATGATGCAATCTAACTTTCCAACTCAGAAAAATGATAAAGAGCATGAACAAAGAACATGTAAAAACAAATGCAAAATTTGCACAATCTAAAATGAGAAACTGTAACTGCAAGTAACAAAGTCTGAGCCATGGTAAAGAGTTACATTGAACACCAAGCTGATCAGATAACTCCCTGGTTGGTCTGAAGTCCTTCTATCTCCAGGATCTGTACAAATCGGCACATTATGCCAAAAGTCTTCTCACTAAGTGAGCTGCTTTGCAATATACTTCACATTGTTAGAAAAGGCTCCAGAAGGCCTTGGGGACATCAGTATCAGGGGCTGGAGCTGGACAGGCTCTTTCATCAGCACTTCTCCTTCCCTTTGCCAGCCAGGACCTCACATACTGTTCCGGATTGAACTGTCCTAGTGATGGTCCATTACATTTAATGAAAACCAGGCTGGACAGTCGGCTGACAGAGAGAGCATTCCTTTTTGCAGTAAGGATATCGTTCATGCAGCTGAATGCCCGCTCACACTCACTAGTGGAGACCGCGATGGTTCGGACTGCTTTCAGTAGAGGCTCCATGGCAGCAGGTGTACGGGATGCCCTGGTTTCCTTGTATTTGCGAAAGCCCTGAACAGTCTCTCTTCTGTCCACTTTCAGCACTTCGCACAAACATAGCACCTCTACGTCCCCATACTGTACGTCTAACTCCTCTTCAGGCCAACTTCCAGGATGGATAACTTTCATGTCCTGGATTAGCTGATTGTCCCGGGCCTCCCGGCCATGTAATGGGATTTCTCTTGTGCTGACATGAGAGGAGGTTGTGGAAGTCATTCTGTGTCTCAGATTCTCTACCATACTGCGGAAAAACTGACCTGCATGAATCTGTACAAGCCTGCCATTCTCACGCAGGGCAACACCCTTGAAGGACTTCTCAGCTAGAGCTGTATGAACTGTAGTCATGTGTGGGCCAGGCATGGTGACCATGGATTCAAAAACTCGTATTTCTCGAGTTAAGAGCCTATCTGCTGTAGGCAGTGTCATCTCTCTTTTTTGGAGTTGCCGAGAGAGGTCGCTGAGCTCTGTGAGCGCATCGTACATCAGTCCCAGATTGCTGACAAACGTTGCAGATGTGAGCACATCATCCAGGCCCTTGTACTTTGCTCTGTCTCTGGAATCCCTGCTCGTGTCGTTTGCAGCATTTGTGAAGTGATCATGAAGCACTCGGTAGTTTTCCCAGACTGCTCTGACGCTCCTTTCACTTGAAGCCACCCAGCGGATGGACAAAACACGCCCTATCACCAGGAGACGCTGTCCGACTGCTTGTGCACACTGCGCTAACTGCCTCTGATTTTTGGGGGAGGCATGGAACAAGGAATAGAGTTTGTCAAAAAAGATCTGGAAATGATTGAGCCCTGAGACCTCCTTGACCACATCCCCAACTGCCAGCTCTAGACGATGATTGGAGCAGTGCCACACAAACAGGCTTGGGAATTTACTACACAACTGGGTAGCAACGCCTGTTCTCTTCCCTAGCATGACTGAAGCCCCATCACATGCAAAAGAAACGAAACACTGACCTAAAAAGTCCTCGTTAAAATCTCTTCCAAGACACTCCATTAATGCCTTTGTGATGTCATCAGCCGTTGTTCCATCCAACTCGATCAGCTCCCAAAAAAACGTTTCGGGCTCAGCATCAGCTAATGCTGAGCGTAGACACACAACAAGCACCGTTTTACCACTAATAGTGGTAGATTCATCGACCAAAACACAGAGTTTTCTTTGGTTTTCTGTAATGTCTTTTGCCATTTTTTTCTTCAGCTCATGAGCTATGTGGTCGATGATTTCGCCACAGGTTTTATTGGAGTGCAAAACCCTGCCCACGTTCAGCCCATTCAGTTTCTGTACATTCAAATCAATTGGCATGTCTGTGAATGGCCGGCTATGTTTGCCAATTTTATATGCCGTTCGAAAAACTCTGATAGTGGTGTCTAATTCAGATTTATGCATAGACTGCACTTGATGTTGAATAGTTTCACGTGAAGCAGATGTAAGGATGTCAGCAGCTTTTACATGGGCTTGTGATTCTTTATGTTCTTTGATTTTTTTTCTCAGGCTAGCTTGTTGTTTGCCCTTGTCAACACCAAAATGAGACACTGCACACTCACCCCATTCAGTTGACAGTTTCAGTCCTTGTCCAGTGTGTATTCCCAAAGATTTGACATCTCTGCATATCCGACATCCTAGCTTCTTATCTTTAAGAAGGAGCCATGCATTGGTCTTGGAAAAATATTGCACCTGGTCCGTTGTCCAGCAGTCAGGTGCATCGCTTTGCCCGGTGTTGGTGGTGGCAGTTGCGCCAGCAGCAGCTAACGTTAGAGGCTCTGGAGGAGGCGGCGGAGCTAGTGCTAATGCTAATGCACTAGAACTTGGAGCAGGAGGATCAACCAAAGAAAGCTCCCCATCAGACACAATTTCCAACACAGGCACAGCATTCTCTGTATTTGAAGTTTCTTCCGGCGACAACCGCTGTCTTTTTGCACTTTTATTAATCCACGCTAACATTTTAGAAATGCTAATTTGTGACGTGACTTGCTTTCCTTCTCTCGGGGGCGTGCCTGCTCTGTTCTATCACTCTACATAGCCACCCACTGGGTGGGAGTTGCACTGCATAAACACAACACACGTGCATCTAGGTATGTAAATTGTAAAGCATTAAAACATGGTTTTACTAACAGTTTTCAGTATGTTGTTACTTCGGCATTATTATTATTATTATTATTTTGAAACGTGTATTACTATTAAATCACGGTCAAATAGGTTAATTTTGACATAGTCGTTTCCACCACAGTATTTACATGGAGAAGATAAGCCCCGCCCCCTCTCCAGCACGTTCTGTTTGAATGACAGGAGTAAACAGCTGACAGCCGCTGTGAAACTCCAGCGGTTAGAGCGATGAGAATGTCCGTTCGGCACCTCATGACGCATCTACTGAGTACCGGGCGGCTGTATATATATATATATGGATGTATAATAAGAACGGCGGGAGAGTGTTGAGTACTGGCACGGTGCATGAGTACCGGAGTACCGCCAGCATGCCGGTACTGAGCAAGAAGTGCCGGTACTCCATGGGTCAGAACCAGAAGTGCCGGTACTGCGTACCGGTGAGTACCGGCCCAATTCCAGCACTGATATTATTAATATATATATAATTCTGACGTCTGTGGTTATTTAAACATTCCCTGATAAACGTTATTTCAGCGTCAATAAATGAGTGTTTAGTGTGCTGTGTGCAACATCACATGTCATTTCACCTTCAATTCACGGTTTTCAAAACGTTAGCCACATGCTAATGCTAACCGGAAATGAAGAATTTTCAGAATAAAAGTGTTAAGTTAATAGTTAGTGTGAACTTCCGTTTTTTTCCGAATAAAACTGCTTTAAATTAAAACCCTGTATTTCATTTAAATTACGTCATATCAACATTGATTTTAATTTCTTACAGTAGGAGAGGTTTTGGGAGGGAGGAAGGAAGATTAGGATTATGTAAAAAGGTAGGGAGTGGTTAGGGTTAGGATGGGGGGAAGGGAAGGGTTAGATTGAAGGGAGGGAAGAGAACTGCTACCCGGGAAACAAGATGCAATGCTCATCTGTGAAGCTCCGCCCACGTTGAGCTCCGGCCCACATCGAGCTCATTGAGGCACTGCACACTGTAGTGAGGGGCTTCTCAACACTGCAGGATAAAGGTCCCGAGCAGCTGCAGAGTAATGTCTGCCACCTAGTGGTAAAATGTGTAATGTTTGGCTTAATATCAAATCCGTTTGGCCTTTATCTTTCTTCTGTAAACTGTTGCATGCTCATAGACCAGGGATCACCAACTACATTTATCCAAGGGCCCAAATGTATCCAATAGACACTTTTGCGGGTCAGCGATTTTAATATATAGCACAGAATTTTAAACCGGTTAAAGTTGTTGACGGGGGAGTACTGCGGAGCGCATAACGCAGACTCTTCACGCTAACGAAGGATCACTTCTTCTTCAGGGCAGGGAAGGCTACGCAGTACGCAGTCTACTTTCCCGCAGCTGCTGCCTCTCTGTTGGACTCCGGTAATGCACATTACCGGAGTGGGGGGCGAACGCACTAACCACTCCGCCAACGCCACAGTCACCCCCTCCGTGCAGGCCGGATGAGAATGTCTGGCGGGTCTGTTGTGGCCCGCCAGTTGATTGTCACCGTCATAGACCAATGCTATGGAAGCACGGGACCGTGGTGCATTGATGATGTAAAGCAAGCCTTACACTCCGAGCTGCTTCCAGCGCTGGAAGAAGTCTTCCGATGTCATCTCAGTGGGCTGGAAAAACTTGTTGAGCATCACAGGGAGTTTCACTGCGATGTTCTGAAGAGTTCCCCCGTATCTGTTCACACACAGAGTCGGGAATGAGCACATAGAGGAACCCGATACACGAGAAACAAAAGTTTGATTCAGACACCGACCTGAACTGGACGTTGAGGACCGGTGTGTCTGAGAAGTCTGACAAACACTCGATGTTGAGGATCTGCTGGAGCTGAGCCCCCCCTTCCACTGTGGGGTCCACTGGCATAGTGTGGACGTTCAGCTGTGGGGATAAGGTCAAGGACTCCACAGACACTTAAATGACACTGGTAAACATAAAAAAAGCTTACCACCCATTCACACCGTAGGTTTTGTTTTGTTTTAATCGCGAATCGTTTTTCTTGACAGTTTGAGTGGTTTGCAGAGAGTCCTTAACAATTTTAGACTTAAATTTGGATATTTTGTAAGGTCAATTACGCTTGGCACACCCCCAGTTTGGTGAAACAGATGGGAGTTATCACATGGAGGCAAATACTAATGTACCGCTGTGGTCAGGGGCAGCAGGAAAACTATTTTAGGAACATAAAAGAAAGGCCTACCAAGAAAAACAAATAGATGTTTGTGTATGCTCTATGGAGAATACTTTCACTGCTTTGCTTGCCATGTGACAGCTAAACAGTCCATGTTTCCAAAAGCGAGCTGGGAGTTTTCTCTGCTCCCAAACATACCCATCAGACTCCATTGAGGAAAAAATGTAATTCTACAAAGCAGTACACAGGAGTTGCTGGTATAGTGCTGTCTTCATCAGTTAGCTTGTTTGTGTGATTGTGACTTTGTTGAATCCAAACAAACCAAAGTCAAGCATTAACTTAAACAAACTGAATGGTGGAGGCAGCAGTTGACCAGCATCACAACATCATGTTTTTTTTCAGATTGTGTCTGGTGTAGGGATGTGTATCTCCATCACTGAGGCCGATGCGATGCGCATCTCGATACGTTGCCACGATACGATACATTAACGATACATTTGAAACACCAGGCGATGCGATACGATACGATTCACCCCTGTTGCGATACAGTTCGATACGATTTGATTCAACATTATGCGATTCGGTGCGATACGATTCAACACGATGCAAAAATAATGATACTTCAATTTGGTACGACAGAGGATTTTTGTTTTATTCCTTATATGCAGCAAATCATACATTAACTAAAAAGTGCTTTACATATTTGGTACTGCACATCCCATCATGCCGTTTATTTTTTTACCTTTAAAAGCTCTCCAGAGTACAATTGTATAACACCTCACAGTTAAACAATGTAAGGATGCATTGCTCATGATTAACAATGTGCAAATAACAGCTACCATAGAGCAATGCCCATACAGCTGCCAGCCTGATGTGCTTAACACTCATTCATAGGCTAACTCACCAGTGAGCAGAAAGCGGTGGGTTCTATATGAACAATAAATAATACAAATAACCTTTCACAAACAGGTATTTCATAACTGCTTACAGTGAGGAATACATTTAAATTATTATTGGCCGTCACAGGCTGCTGTAAACTAAACACCACTCTCTCTGACAGAACACCTCACTGAGTGATTTAACTCATATGTCTAACTTTGAGGTTTCTCTTTTCAGCCGCAGACCCCATGTCGCCTCTTTATGTGCGTCGCTAAGTTCCTCGTACTACTTGTGTACTTTAAATCGGCTCGGCATCGTTAACAATTTGCGAGCGATTTTTCAAGTTGACCGTCTGTGCCGCGCACATATACCATCAGGACGTTACTGATGGGGTGCGGCTGCGGAGTGATACTGTGTGTATGCAAGCCCGCATCTAGGACGGATCTATGTATCATGGCTACCTGTTAAGTAATAAAGATACCTCATACAAAGGTCTACGGATACCTTATTACTCTCCATGACCTGCGGTCAACTATATAGCCTAGCATAAAGGACTATTACACCGTCTTTCTTGAACAATCCGAAGTGTTACCAAACGTTTGATTTGTAGGTATTTTTCGGTGCGCTGTGTTTCTCTTTCTCCTCGACTTCCGTGTGTGTTGATAACTGAGACTCTCGGCCTCCGTAGTGGCGAAGCAAATATCAAAGATCGTCTCTGCTGAGCGTTGACAAGATTAGGGGATTTTATATGAATGAATCGGTTTTTTACCGATGCAAAGACGCTACGCAATCGATGCATCGCGAGTTCAACCCGGTTCAACCCAAACTGTAGCCGATGTGCACTCTTTCAACCGGTGCACTCCCATCTTGAACGTTTATGCCGGTGCACCGATGCGAATCGGTGAATCTTAACATCTCTAGTCTGGTGGCATTGGTGAGAGCATAGATGGATATACCGGCATCAGTTACACGTCGGAAAGGGCTGTCTGACAGCAAGGTAAAGCAGTGAAATATTCTTAATATAGCTTACACTTGATAACAAGGTCTTAGCACTAGTGGGCAGTATATTGCTTTGGCTTCCTGTCACAAATCCTGTCTGTTTCTCCAAACTGAGTGTGGGGCAACTACCATCGAGTGGTTTTAATACACCAACCATGAACAACCTCACACAAACGATCCCTTTATGTACACTCAGGTCTGTAAGAAGAAGTCGGAGCAGTGGAAGGATATGAGTCTTGAGCGTGTCGCTGCTTGTCACTGATGAGGAGAAGCTGAGGAACTGGGAAGATGTCTTGTTGCCGTAGAACACGTAAATGCGACCTGTGGGAGGATAGAAGGTAAACTATCTACACTATGCACTACATTTCGAAGTCATATGATTACTCATCCCATTTCACATGTTATTTTCTACATCTCTAATGCTACCAACGGATGAGATTAGAAAAAAAAGGAACAGATGCAGAACTCATGCAAAATAAATACTGTTGACTAATATCTACTTACCGAGGTTCTGCCTATACTCAGACTTCAGTCCAATCTGCAGCAGCTGGTTCTCAAAGATAACACCGTTGTTCTTACAAACAAACCTGGAATTTAAAAAGGCACAAAATGATTATAAAAGTACCAAAAAGACCATAGAGAACATATGGTTTCAAACAATTATTATTATAATTATTATTACTTCGTGTGAAAATGTAACGCTAGCAGAATATTTCAGCTTAATTGTAAAAGTTGCAGACAGGCTTTTCAAATATGTACATATAAATCATAAATCCTTAATTGATCCAATAGCAGTAAAAATGCACATAGTTTCAGCAGGGCCATTGCAGATACAAAAGGCTAAGATAAGAGGACTAAACTAACATAATCAATACAGAGGCATGTTGATACAATTAAATCAAATATGTACCATCTATGGTTAAAAAAACAAAACAAACATAAAATGGGTCCAATAAAATAAATATCCAGTTGCATTATGGGAAATGCAATATCCAGTACTAGAGAATAGTGGCAGGATACCTCAGCATCTGTAGTTTGGATTTTCACACTAAATCACAATTTCATATTAATATATATCTCACCTGGAGAAGTGTTCCTCGCACACATCAGTGGGTCCGGGTCCGGTGGTGGGGGCGGGTGCGGGGGAGGAGAGGTCTGACAGGACGTCCACTAACAGACTAGCTCCGGCTGCAGGGCTGGAGTTCATGTTCAGCAGGTCTGTGAACGGGTGGCTGGGGGCCTGCCAGAGAAACACGCATTGTTACACACGAATACAAGACTGGGAGGAGACTGGGACTGACGTTTTTCATTGCCATATCTACACTGTAGCTACTGTGCACATGACTATAGAGTGGTGCAAGGGTGACGTATTTACCCGGAAGTAAGCTGCGCTCGGATTCCCTCCACAAAAAAGCAGTGGGATTTCTCCAGAGGAATTTGGAAAATAGCTCGAAATAAAGTCTGTGGAAAACGAACCTGTTCGATAAATGCACGTTTTGTTCAGCCGGATAACATCCACATGTTTACCCTACTTTTATCATTTTCTAATCATCTAATCGCCAGAAGCAAAATGCTAACGTTATGCTATAAACGAACTACAGCCGAGTACAGCAGGGTCGCACGACTTCAACGTCACGCCAACTTAAGATCGATATTCAAAAGTACAGATTCTAAATTGTACGAGTTGAAGCGTTTGTATTGAACAGTTTGCAGGAGGCAGGGACTTGCTTTCAAGCAGAACACGGGGGAAAGCAAACTTAGAGGAGTGTTTACGTGTTCGGCGTAATGACGTACAACGGCCTGGACAACTTCTGTGGTCCTATTCAGCCACTTGGTAACGACCATCGTTTTTCAGACACGTAAACTCTTCAGAAATCACCAGCGGGGTCACTGCTGATAGATTTAATGTCGTAGAACAAAACGTGATCCGTCTCTTAAATGCGTCTCAACCACAGACCTTATTTCCAGCTATTTTCCAAAATCCCATCTCTCTGTCTGTTAAACACGTAAACAATGATTGGCTTATGCTACACTAGACAGGCTAAAATGTTCATTATAATCTGATGACTACAATACAACAATTGAGAGGACTAAGACTAAATTATAAAAAAACGTTGGTCAACCAAAACTAGACTCAATTAATCAAAATGTGAGTAAAAGTAATGAAAGCATTCTGATCTAAAGTGTAAGACCAAGACTACATCCAAAACACTGAATTAGGGTGAGCCAAACCGGCACAATAATGTCAAACTCTTCATTAACCTCTTATGCAATTCCTATCTGTAATTCGTATGGACTCTAGCTATCGATATACCATGTTCCCAGCAGAGAGGATTGTGGGACTATAGGAGGCAGGACGGGGTCTGTTGGTAGGAAGCAGGTCTGCCACCAGAGAAGGAGGAGAAGACTGATGGAGAAGGATAATAAAAAGAAGAGAAGATAGAAGGGTGAAGAGGTGAAGTAGGAGAAAAGACAAGTACAGTTGAAGATCAAGGAAAAGTGATAATAGAGGAATAAAGGTAGAATGAAGGCAAAGCAGTAAAAGCAACACGATATACGGAGAATAGGTTTTATATACTTGTGAAGAATAAACATTTTTACAATTTTAACATAAAGCTATTAATACAGAAAGCTGTGCAGTTACCTTGTTGGTTGGTTCCGTGTTCTCGCTGTGCTCCGTGTTGCCGTTGACATTCCAGCGGGCCTCGTCCATGTCGGGCACCTTGCCGGGGCCCTTCTTCTTCTTCAGCTTGGCCAGGATGGAGGACTCTCTCTCTGGGAACGGAGGCATCTCCTCTAGCACCGTGGCCTGTGGAGGGACAGAGACAGTGAGGACTGGGCAATACACACAGCTGCTGCACCTCTGTACTACTAGCAGTAATTACTATTATTATTAGAAATCAGGGATTTTACAGATATTGAGTAATCACATTTAATCTTGCATATGACACCAAAGGAGAGGCCGGTTAAACATATAGAGCAGGGGTCAGCAAACATTGGCACGCGGCACCGTAACCAGTGGCACACTAGGAAGAAGTGTGCAAAATATTTTAATTAGCCTCATCCCAATACCCCTCCTCGACTCCTCTCTTCCCCTCCTCCGGGACTTGACCCGGAAATCGATCAAGACACGCCATTTTGAAGGACGTCCCAATAGCTGAAATGCACACGGAGGAGTCGAGGAGGGGTGAGGGAGGAGACACGAGAGCAGACTACGCGGAAGTGTTTTCACTACTCGCATATAAAAGCCCCGCCCCCACCTTCACAGCTGGTCCATTTCAACAGAGGAAAACCGACAACTGGAAGATGAGTGGAAAAGAGTCACATAAATGTCTAAGTGCTCACAGCTCCGTGGGAATTATTATGGGCAATTCATTTCTTAAGGTTATACTAACAATTTAAGTCATGTTTCTTGAATCTTGAACGTCACTAAAACATAGCTATTAAGAAAGCTATTTCATAAATGGCTAGATCTTGATAAATAACAATTATTTGTATTGTTTTGTGTTAAGATATTCAGGAGTTAAACTATTTAAAATTCACAGTCCTGAATGTGGGTTAGTGGTGAATGTGGGGATCTACAGGACACACATGTTCAGAGTAAAGGCTTTCACATCACTATAATTATATTTTTATTTAAATGTAGGCTACATTTTACACCAAAACGGAACACAAAAGCAGGACCAACCATCATACATTGAATTCCTTGACTAACAAGAGAAAGATTCATTCATTTAAATAAATATTTAACAACAAATGGGCCGGTTCTAAAGGGTTATCCAGTTAAGCCCGATGAGAGGGGATACAGCTGTGCACCAGGGTTTCCGTTAGCCGGTAATTACCGGTTTTTAGCTGGTAACATTTATTAAAAACCGGTAAATTCAAAACCTGCCGGTCAAAATGTCCGGTAATAATTAGGGATGTTCCATCGATCGGCCGCAGATCATTATCGGCCGATATTCACATTAATAGTTTGATCGGTGCTCTCTATAGAGGCCGATCAGGAGAGCTGGATCTGATCGATATGGACATAAACGCGAGTGAAGTGTAACCGGACGAGAGAGAGAGATCAGATCAGCTGCTGAGTCTGATGGAGACATGCAGCTCTGCATAATCACCTGAAGCCCCGCCTCTGTTTAGCTGCATGAGAAACTGACGGGCTGTCAGGAGAGAGAGAGAGAGGGAGAGGGGAAAAGAGATGATCCGTTTCTCCCGTGTTATTATTAAAAGTTAATGTAAACTTTTGAATAATGTACGTTATCTACTACAAGTAGTTTGTTTGAATGTAATAATTATGTTGTTTGTTGTTTGTGGAATAATTTATTGAAAAATGAATCTGAACTTTTCGATCTGTTACGATTATAGACTGAAGCAATATAAAAATGGCTCCCATTAACTGAGTTTTAAACATCAGCATATCCGGTCCTAGTCCGGTGATTACCTGCTAACGGAAATACACAAATCTTATTATTATTATTATTGAAACATGACCGGTAAGTTTCAAATGTGTCCGATAAAATTAATTCTGTCCGGACATTTGACCGGCGAGAAAAAAATCGTCATTAATATTATGCCGTTTAAACCAATTATTTAAATTTGTTTAAACCGCATAATTTAAGTTCCGCACACACTGCTTCCCCGCAGCGAGGCTACCCCCGCCCTCCTGAGTAGAGTAGAGATAAAAAGTTTGACACGTGAGTATCTTAATATCTATATAAAAAAAGTAAAACATTGTTGTTCTGAAGTTTATAGTTTTGGGAAAAGGTGATCATTTTGACAATCTTTGGTTCGAGCAGGACTTCCTGTTGAAGGTTTCCTGTCATGTGGATGTGAACTAATACTACAGTTACAAAGTGATTCACATCAAAATGTGGCAAAATCTTCCGAAAATACATGTGATGTTACTTTTAATGCCTTCACTTAAAGGTTTTTGGAAAAGAACAAATATGTATTTATTTCAAACAGCTAATTGAGTCCATGTTGTAAAAAAGAGGTTATCAAAGTTGCAATATGGACTAGTTCAATATCCAAATCTCAGTAAGGGTAATATTTGGTATGAAGTCTTGTGTTGCTACAAAGAAGTGCCAGGCAACACACGGTATTCCACAGACTTAATCAAAAGTCCTTGTTTGGTACAGATCTTCATTGTTATGTAAATCAACGCTGACTTTTTTTAACCTGTTTTTGTGAAAGCTTGAGTGTGGGCCAGACTGATGGAATTTGGCGTAATCAGTATTTTTGTGTACTTCCTGCAGAACCCCCTCACCAGTATGTCGGTGCTGGCGATGCAGCTGAGCCTCAGGTACTCGATGGCTCTCTGCTGCAGCTCCACGTCAGCGTTGCGCAGCTGGCTGTCTGAGCGCAGCACGTCCTGGATGGTGGGCTTCACTTCTGGAAACAGGTTAATGAACTTGATGTAGGCGGACAGCAGCAGGGCCCGGGTCGGCACCGAGCACAGGTGGAACTTAGAGTGGAGGAGGTTGAACTGGACCAGAGGGCTGAGGGAGGAGAACACGCAAACATTTAGGTCCGATCGAGACTCTTCACAAAACTAACTCAATATGTCCCTTGTATATTACACTGCTGCTTGTTTCCTATGGAAAACACAGCACCATGTTTAGTTTAGGTTCAAATTACACAAACATACAAAATGTTTTTTTAATTGGAACTTGTCTCATCTAGCTGTGCAGATAGTGTTGACTTCATTAACAGTACTTTTTAAACAAGACATAGTCCAGGTGAAAACTTTGAGAGAAACGGGGACACTTCTCTCTAGTGTTCATTTCATCAGCTATTTTTTTATTTAGTCTTAGTCCTGTGTTAAATTTCCTTTTTAGTTTTAGTCATATTTAGTCACCTTCATCCTGCTTTTATTTAGTCAAGATTTAGTCGACTAAAAGTCTGAGCATGTTAGTCTTATTTTAGTCAAAGAAAACTAATTATTTTAGTCTACTTTTTGTCAATGAAAACTGTTGAGTCTTTTTTAGTCATCAGATTATATAGAACATTTCAGTCAAACTGGTCTAGCCAAAACCAATCATTTGTCATTTTAGTCAAACTTATTTCCCAATAAGATTATATCTTGTCCTTATTTGATGAAAAACACAGGTTGAATGATTAAGAAGAAGCAGTGGTGGCTTTAGACTTTTTCGTTGTCAGTCATTTTGACGGACAGGATCGTAACATTTGCGTCATAATCCATTATTACCCGTCGAGTCTGTACACAACTCGTCACTCACTCGCGCTGACGGGGGGGGGAATATTAATTTAACGCGACCACTGCTCCCAAGCCCTGCCATTTTATTTTCTGTTAAATAAGGTTAGTTAGACCATGAGTTAGACCCGAGTCTTCCTGACAGTTCACAGTGTGCCGCTTCCCGGTGTAATTAAAATGTGCTGCCGCGCGCAGCACAGACACACAGCTGCTGCCCTGCCGCTGCACCGGAAATGGAACTGCTGCTGGGAGGAAAACGGACTATCAGAAATGTAACGTTATCTTTGATAATATTTCGTCTCCTCATTTTTCATCAACGAAAGTAAAGAGAGATTTTGGCATAGTTTTCATTTAGTAAACTACATTTTACAAACATATTTCGTCATAGTTTTAGTCAACGAAATGAACACTACTTCTCTCAAAGAGACACAGCTGTTCCATTTGCTGTTAAAAAACAATTCTATTCAAATATCTCAAAATGTGGAAAACAAAACCATGTGAATGCTTGCAGTTTACCTGGAGCGTGGGTCCCCAGCAATAAGGTTTCCAAACTCTCCGAGGATGTAACCCCCCACCTTCAGCAGGTTCTCGTGGCAGGCTGGAGCCTGCAGTGCCTACAAGAGTTCACAAAGCATGACAACATTGGGTTGGAATACAATCTATACATAATATCTACTGCAAGCAGAGGTGTTGATCAGCCACCCAATATTGTCAGTATGAGCTTCACACAGTCCGGACACAAGTATACAATCCCTCACTGGTATCACAACAAGGCAAACTCTTGGGATTGAGTCTGATAAAACTCAATTTAAGTCAACGATCTTTGGTTCTTTTCTCTTGCTTTTTTTTTTTAATGTTGTTTAATTCAATATATATTTTCAGTTTCACAGTGCGATCTTAGTTTATAGCTAGCTCACATTTGTAAAGTTACTTTAAAAATGCATTACAACTTTCCTTTGCAGGCTTCCTGTTATTATCTAAAATGACTCCCTCATTCCTTGTGCACTGAGGGGTACATCTGGCCTAGATGTGCATCTAGAGCACATGTGTCAAACTCAAGGCCCGGGGGCCAAATCAGGCCCTTGCTTGGTGGATTTAATTTCGGCCCACAGGATAATTTCTAATTACTATTAGATCTGGCCCGCCGGTATATTGCACGCACACCTTCACTCCATCCTGAGGGTCTCCTCAGCTCAGAGCCTGAGCCCAAACATCGATGAACTTGCACCCAAGATGAGATGCCAAGTATCTGCTTGAACTAGCATCACTAGTTTGTTTTTTTCTTTGAGGGAAATAGTTTTTTTGAAGCTGTTGTTGGCCTGTGGGAAAATGTAATCATAAGAAATGACTGCAGATAAAGCCATAAGAAATTAATGCAACTGATTATTTAATGTTTAATGTTGTTTTTATAGGCAATTATTTAAGCTTTGTTAGTTCCAGGTTTAATATGTGCAATAAGTTCATTTCAATAAGTTCTGCAATAAACATTGAACCAGTCCGGCCCTCGACTAGTACCCATTTTTTCATTTTGGCCCACTGTGTATTTGAGTTTGACACCCCTGATCTAGAGCAAAGGTTTAGGACATTCATAGCTGCTGCTCTGTAAGTCCTGTAATGGCGCGTTTCCACTACAGCGCGGAGCCCCGTTTAAGAGGGCTGTGACATCAGCGGCCCGCTTTTGGTTGCGTTTCCACTTGGCCTAGTACCGGCTAGCGGGTGCTAATTCACAGTTTTTCTGGCCCCATAAAATCGGGGTTCTAGGGCCAGGAACAACCAGGCTGTGACGTCACTCTTGACTGCTGATTGGTCAGAGAGAATCGTCTCAATATATGCGACGCGTCGCATGTAAATATATAGCGAAGCTTGCAGCATTTTTATAAACAGCATTTTTGTTAACAGAGGATCAACAAAAATGGCAAAGAAAAGCACACCGTGGTCCGCCGACGAAGTTACGACGTTCCTACACTTTATTGCAGATGACAAGATCCAGCGGGAGCTCGACGGGACAACTCGCAATATGAAAGTATTTCAGGAGGTCTCTACACTGATGTGCGGAAGCAGTTACTCGAGGACTGTCTTGCAGTGTAGGGAAAAACTGAAAAAGATGACGAGTGAGTATCGCGTAGTGAAGGACAACAACAAGCCGATCGCTCCGCCTACACTGCGTTACTATAGATACTACCCCAGTTCCTAAACTGTAATGGAGACGCGCCATAAGTGAGCCAGTCCTAACGAAGTGAGCCAGTCCTAACGAGCGAGGCCGTGTAGTGGAAACGCGTCATTAGTCTTAGGAACCTTTGGAGACCAGGAAAAAGACATTACAGTTTTTAAACTAAAAAAGACAAGTTAATTTCTGAAATTTGAATGTTTCAGCCAATTCCCACTTAGTCCCTATTCATTCCTCTTGATGTCCTCATGAACAGGGGCCTTATAACTAGGGATGCTCCGATCGATCGGTCACCGATCGATATCGGCCGATACTCACTCTCTACCGATCGATCGGTGCTCTCTAAACATGCCGATCGCGAGAGCCGATCGCATGACGTAAAATACATGACACTTTTCTCTGTGTGCGGCGAAACAAGCTCGCCAAAATGGCTTCACCGGTCTGGCAGTATTTTAAGGTGTCCGAAAAAGACAGTAAAATAGCGGTATGCAACGTGTGTGAAGCAGAAATCCTGCAGCTCCGCCCGCCGGACAGGTAAGCGCAGCGAAACACACACACAGGGAGAACCAGACCGCAGTTCATTTCCTCATATTCCAAACGAGAAATTACGGTAGCAAATCACCCGGTTCTTTACGACCAGAACTATTAACGGGATACAAACCGGAGGAACCAGGCATGGAGGGAGGTGGCAGAGGCAGTGGGTGAAACTGGTAGGTTTTCGCCTGTTTGGGGAGTTTATATATTTATATATTGCTCGCATAAAATCCCCGGGGTTTTTTGCTTTGTATGTCGGGGGCGGGAGATTCATGTGATTGGTTGTTGGTCGCGTTGCTCGCAAAAAATCCCCAAGCTTTCAGACACGCCCAGCTCCAAGATTTTCAAGATTTTTGAAAAGCTGCTGTGTGGACGTACCGTAAGAGTTAGACCTAACACACTTAGCTATTTTATCTACCTCTGGAACAAGCTAAACTAGTTATTATAAATATATTTATTCTTCATTGTCGGGTCACTCATTACTGGATCAGTGAGCTGCATGAGATACTGACAGGCTGTCAGGAGAGGGGGAGAGAGAGAGGGAGAGAGGAAAAGAGAGCGCTTCCGCTCATTTGTCCCGTGTTATTCTCCAAAGTGAATGTAAACTTGAATAATGTACATCATTTGAATGTAATAATTAAGTTGATTGTTGTTTGTGGAAGCTCCAGTGAATGAGCCCCATTAACTGAGTTTTAAACATCACTTTAAATGGAAGATTTAAAGTGATGTTTAAATCTTCCATTTAGGCCCCGCCCACTCGATCGGATCGGCGATCGGTATCGGCCGATACTGATTCCGGCCCCGAAATTGGCGATCGGAGCATCCCTACTTATAACACATGATGGTGGACCATAAGAGGACTCTTAAGAGGAAGATTCTGAGTGTGATGACAGATATCTTCATGCCCACCTCAAAGACGGTCTTTGCGGCGTATCCTTGGACATCGTCTTGGTTTATGACGATCTGGATGACTCGATACCACACCTCCTCGCTGACGTGGTCCCCCGCGATGCGGATGAGGTTCAGAATGGTGTCCACGTACCAGGTGTAGTCTACAGCATATTTTTCAGCCAGGATAGCCACCTTGAGCACCTGAGGAAGAAAAGCAAGTGAGTCAGGGGGAGAGGCATACACAGAAGAAGAAAATGATGACCAGGCCTGTACTGATGACCCACTATCTCCTCTCTGATGGAGTAGTCTGCGTTCTCCAGGTAGCTCAGCATCTCCGCCACTATCTGCTTGGAGTTGCTGCGGTCACACATGGCGTAGAGCAGATCCACGGCCCGCTGGCGCACACTCACATCTCGCTCTGTCTGTATACAAATAAACAGAAATGTATGACGAATGATTATGGCCAATAATATAAGAAAACAAAGCTTGATATACAATATATTTCTCTTCTAGTCGCGATTGCATTGGCAACCTTCAGTGAAGGTTTTCTCAGGCTGCGAGCACATCTCTTAACGCTCTGTTAGTTTAGGAAGAGCTTTATGTGAGCAGAGCAGGCAGACATCAATATCGGCAGTGATCAAGATATTTTAAAATTGTTGGCCAACAAAATCATAATCAGGATTACATTTCAATAATTCATAGATGAATCAAGAAAAAAAGGGTCAGATTATTTAATAACGAAAACTATTGTTAGCTGGAGTCCTGCTTTATAAGAACCTTCAGTTCATCTGTTAGTAAACTGATTGTTCGTAGGAACTTGCCAGCCATTCAAATAGGCTCTTCATTATTGTTGCGTCTTCATAAACGCTGATATACCAATGTCCATAACAGACAGCTCACTTATTGCCATATCACAGCTTTGCATCTTAGAACAGAAGTCCAATTTAACATTTGTCAAGGGACAACTATCAATTAGTAGAAGAAAACACTGCATTTTAGTGGCATGACAGACTCTATAGCCAAACACTAGTCAATTGGTGGAAAAAAAACCCAAAGAAAAAGCCATGTTCATCATTTCCACATCACAGCTTATCAAAGCAGACAGCTGACGAAGGCCTCACCTTCAGAGCGTTGATCACAGTATCTATATGCGTCTTCACCGCCTCGTGAGAGAACTCGGAGCTGGCCAGCGTGCACATGCTCTCCAGAGCCAGGTACCGCAGGTTGGTTTCCCTGTGCTGCAGGAACTGGCCCAGCTGGTTGCAGGCTCGTACCAACAGGGTGGGCTCACTGAGGGACCAGAACAACAGCTAGATGAAGAGTCAACACACATTTCAACATCTAGAACCCCACATAGGTGACAAATAAAGTCCAACAAATGTAAAGTAGCCTAAATAGGAAGATAAAAGACGAGGGGTCAAATCTTTCCTATATGCCAATGGATGGTGGTGGGGGGGGGGGGGGGGGGGGGGGGGGGGGGCTCTGTCAAGTGCCTTTCTGCAAAACAGCAGATGCTATGTGGCTACAGGACTGAATACAACATGGTAGAATCCAACAGGATTTACTTAAAGTCTACGCAGTGGCCCAATTATAAAACCCCGGGGAATGAACCAGAGTTACACGAGGAGTATGACCGACCTGTCGTGGTGGATGATGAGGGCGATGGCTTCAAACAGAACAGCGTTCTTTGCGTTGGAGTGCTGGACCTTCTTGGACTTGGGGGGCTCCTGGGCTTTGTTGAGGATGGTCTCCAGGCACTCTGTCAGGCGGCTGCGCAGCGCTGCGTCCTCTGCAACAACAGACAGCGTGTTCTGAACAACTCAAGCCATTACATTAAAGAATGTTCATATTAAAAACACAGACATTTAGCTGGGACTCAAAGCAAGGTTTTTCACCTCCATATCTAAAATAGTGGGAAAAGCTGATATATTTGAACATATCTCATGGAAGGTATTTTTTTCTGAGATGTATTTGGCCACTCTGGTGCCATCTAGTGTCAAAAATCCATTCATGCAATTATTCTATTTTATGAAGAAAATGTAGGCTAAATCATAAACACAGATAAGATTTGGCCGGAACATTGAAATCTTCCCAGACACGTTGACCGGCACCATTTTTGGGGGAAATGCTGTGGTTCTTGTTTTAGGTGAAACATGGTGCCTAACTACACCTCTTGAGCAGCAGGAGAATTCTGATGTATCTGTCCACAGAGTAGCAATGAGGAATCTATTGCTTTTATCCACTACATTTACCCATCATCCAATTAAATGGTGTCAAAATATTATTTAAGAAAGAAAGTTGCGCACTTTACCCAGTGATTAAGTTCTACTCATCACTTTTCAGGTGATAGGACTGTATGTTTCTCCACTGGATAATCATTTGTGGTGCAGAAACACATAAGTGTACTAACATACCAGGTGGAGGGTAGCACTGTAGCAGGCGTAGCAGTTTGACAGACAGCCATGGTGCAGCAACAAAGTAATACGTGTAGTCCTGTAGGTCGATGGATGCTGAAGTCACAATCTGGGCAAGCAAGAACAAAGTAACGCATTAAAACACATTGATATATGTTCATTTTAGATTTGATCTTTGACCTCAGTGAATGAAGTTATCGTGTAAAGAGACAGAAACACTGACCCTGCTGAGCCGGGCCACAGCCAGAGAGATGGATGTTCTGAAGTCCTCAGGACTCTTCTGGGCTAGAGTGGTGATGAGGCTGGTGGCTGCTGTTACTACTCCCTGAAAACACACACATCATTCCATCATAATTACAGATGAACTGACACAGTGTCACTGGAACCCTGTGCTGCTGGTTCACAGAGATGAGAGGGGTGAGATGGCCAGACAAAACTAATCGCTGTGACATGAAGCCAACATTGTTACAGTGCATGCAGAACACATAGTACGTAGATTGTTGCAGTGAATGCAGATTCAAAGTTCAAAAGCTAAGAAACTCGAACCTGTAAAACCGCTGAACCAACAGATGATATGACAGAATCAACGAGATGCAATGGGTAAAAAGAAGACAAGTATTTTAAATTTCATAGCAAAAATAACATAGCTTTTCAGTTTTGTGACCTTTTGTGACCTGTTGCCTTTTGGGAAAGTGTTCCCGTGTTATACAGTGTTCGAATGATACTTATTCTGACTATGGTTGCGTTCCAATAGTCCATTTAGCTTAGGAACCTTCCTAACCAAGTGAAATGACCCGAAGTCCCTCAGTGGCAGCCCTGATAAGTGCCATTCCAATTCTCTAAATGAAAGGAAAGGAGGATTCAAACTTCCTTTATAATCAGGGGTGCACATAACTTTGTTGCCCTGGTTCTCAAAGGAGCACCTGGAGATGTTGCTTGGTGCTCATCCTTAAAATGAAATAAACCGTAACTTTTGAGGGGGTCTTGACTTTATTTGCCAGACACACGGCATTGAACACACATGCAGAGGTGAACACAGAACACACATGCAGAGGTGAACACAGAACACACATGCAGAGGTGAACACAAGACAACATTAGCACGAGCAGTAATCCTACAAGCTGTCATCACTACCCTCCTGACTGTTCTCCTCTCTGTCTTCCTCTCTGTCAGACATGGTAGCTGATGATGTAGGCCTACTTCTTTGTCTCTGGTTGTGTCTGTGATTAGCTGCTTGCATCCACAAGTCAACAGCTGGGTTTGGGTCGAAAGTCTCTGTTGTCATCTTAGACAAGTGGATGTAATCAAATGTGAACATAACCAATAACCTACCATAGCCAATAACAAATGAATGTAACTTATTTTATTTGTGTTGTTCATTCATATCTTATTTTACCTTAACATTTATTTATTTATGCATTTTTTTTAATCTCTCCAGTTTTAAAGGATATTTTTGGTTACTGTCCTATAGTATACATTGGAATGATTTCAAACCTGTTTATCCCAATAATTATAAAGGAGTGCCTTGGAAATATGTGTTTACATAAATTGTGACCAAACCGTTTGAACTTAGACTAAAGTGAACTATCTAAACACTCGGAGTCCTTTACCTCACTGAGCTGTAGTTATCAGCCTCTCAGTCTGACTGGAGAGGACTCTCCCTCCACATCATTGTAGAAACATCTTCTTCTTCCGTTAGAGCAGCTAACACCAGATTCTAATAACAACAGCGCCGGTACCGGTGCACCCTCCCTCTCTCCCACGCTCACTCGCATTTTGGCTGTGAGCTGCGGGCGCCAGATAAGCCAACATTCCCCACTTTCATCACTTACAGCGCCCATCATACAGGGCAAATGAAAGGTGGAACCGGGATGAAAAGGGTGTTACATTTACTTAATTATGAATATTGTTACATCAAGGCCGAAAATTAGGATGAGCGCCAAAGGTCAAAAATGTTTTTTTCCCTCCCAGAGCTGCCAGCGCAGCGCCTCCCCAGATCTGGCGCCCTAGGCGAACATCTATAACGCCAGTGCTACGGGCCGACCCTGAGTTCATATGCAACTCGCAAATGTCTTTCTCTCTCTCCTCTCTTCTCCCTTCTCTCTCTTCTCTTCTCCCTTCTCTCTCTCTCTCTCTCAATGTTGGTACGTAAATGCGCCTTTTTTCAAATGACCCGGTGCTCTTTTTTTGCATGCGCACCTCCGCACCAGTTATGTGCAGCCCTGTTTATAACCTCCTTTAGCTTAGGAACCACTGGACCTCCCTCACCGAAAGGAGAGGAGAAAATGCTGCCCCACAATGCATTGCAGCCGCAGCATTTGCCGTCACACAACAGTCAGCCGTTCACGGAAACAACCGATTATGACGGATAAATGATATCATGAAAGTTATGGTGCTTATTAAGCATTTTAAAACGTATGTGGTAAGTTGCCAAAGTGCTTTGTTCTGAACGTTCATCAGTATTATAATCAAAAAGAGAAATATGAACGTTAGTTTTTACTGAAATGATCAAATAAAGTCAACATCTCACTGAACTGTGTGGGGTTTGTTCAACTTTTAAAAGATGTTTGAATGGTGATATACACAGTGATAGATGTTAAGGACTAACGTTTATAATAAATACATTTGTATTGATTTTAAGATCTTTTCATAGTTCATACAATCATACGTATTGGGGTCATTTGTATTAATGTGGACCGGAGGGAGAGGGTGACGAGCATAAGTTTCACTTTCCTTTTTTATTTCAATTCCAACTTTGGTCATGAAGAATATGTTTCTCTGTTGTCCACGTTCATAAAGCATAAAGCAACAGCTTCAGAGCACGGTGCAGAGTCTCTAGATGAGTTTACAGTAGTCCCTCCTTCTTATTAAACATCCATGTTGTAGTCCGCTGTATAGAAAACTGTAGTTTCCATAGTTTCCCCACAGCAGCAGACGCACATTCAGGACGTCCGCTGGCGCATCATAAACACGTAGGATAGTGAAAGTGCATTCGGATTCTCTAAAGTACCGCGGTCTCTTCTCCTAAGTCCTTTTGAATTCTCCTATCCACTATCCCTTAACCCCGTGACGTTTCACTCAGAGGTCAAGGAATAGGAGATAGGGTTAGAATTTAGGAGCTGATCTGAGGATTATCGGAACGCAACCCATGAAAATAGTTGATCAAAGTTGCCAGTGGGCTAAAAGCTCCCTCTTGCCCCTTTCACACCAGCGCTTTTTCAGCTCCGGCTCGGAGCTGGAGCCTGAAAAGTGCCGGTTTTTCCTGTTCACACCGCAGCGGCGCCGCCTCTTAGCTCCGGAATCCGGTTCACTTCCAGCTCCAAAAAATTGTCGGTCTAGAGGCAAGAGCTTCGGAGCTAAGAGGTGGCGTCGCTTACGTCTCTCTTACGTCGAGGCGTGCAGGAAACTAAACCCACCTCCCCTGAACATGGGTCGACTGTCATGCCTGCCTACAAGCAGTAGTGCTTATAAACACACTTTATAAAGTCAGGCAACACTAACCAGGCTTCGTGTGATTCTGTTTATTTGTACCTTACTTTGACCATCCGTTCACTGTTATTGATCATTGTGGAGAGAGGCAGACGTTTTGTTTTGTATTATAGCAGCTATCGGATGGAATCAATACATGGGCTGCACAGGTTGTCGTGTCCGACTATCACAAGTAGAATCATAATAAAAATACGCCGGTAAAATGTGCCTGTAGAAAACGGTTTATGCCACAATAGGATAGCAATAGCAAGTAGTCAGTTTAGCTTCGGTTGCTATGCTAACATCACCCATTTTATACCAGAGAAACTTTCATAACAGCGTTGTGATACCAAACAGCGTCAATTCAGACTGACACACATTCACTTAGGCTAAGGGGAACTGGGGATATGTATCAGCTGCTTGTGTGAGTCGGACAGTGAATACTTTAGAGCGGCCGCTGCAGTGTGAGCTAACCGGGAGCTAACGGAGGAGAATAAACTCCCGTGGAAGAGCAGCCAACACTGCATCGGTCGGTAAATGCTGCAGAAACACATTAATAAACAATGAACCACGGCACTCTGGAGCAAAGTATAAGGTTGGAGAAGTCGTTATTCAATTTAATCTGGCTTCGTGTGATTAAAAGCAACACGATCATCGACCCGACGCAGTTCCCCGTTGTTGTTGTGAGCGCCGTAATGCCGTTGGGGAGCAAATCAGCGATGTAAACGGTGACGTCATGACGCAGCAGCGGTAGCACCAGTCGGGTGCTGGGCGGTGTGAGCAGAAAAGGGAAACCGGAGCTGAACCAGAAAAGCTCCCGCTCGGAGCTAGAAAGGAAAAGCGCTGGTGTGAAAGCCGCATGAGTCACAGGCAAGAGGGTTTTTTCCCCATTGTATTGAACATGAACCCATGACGCACAATTATGGGTAAGAACCAAACAGTGAGTTGTGTGTAACATTTCAGTGAACAAATGACACACTCAAGACTCCAAAGAAAACAAACACTGCGTCACAAACCAGCCTATGTTAGTGTAGCGTCGCGGTCTGGTGCAGAACTCAAGGCATGTAGATTCATGGACGTTCTGCGTTTCCCAAGTTAACAAGCTCGGAAATGTCTTGTACGGTGTTACCAACATGTGTCGAGGAAGGGATACACATGATATCATTTCACAGCAGTAGCCAGATGCTTTTTGAATGAATTGTTAATGAATCCATAAGAGATGCCATTTTATTTTTAAACAATCCAGCCATAAGAGATGCTTTTTGTGTTTCCATTACACGTCTTTGCTGAATACTCAATTCTGAATTCGTTTCAAGGGTCTGACTTTTTTCCGTTAACAGACTGCTGCTAAGGAGGACACTGATCAAGGGAATATGTTTAGTCGTATAAATCCGCAGAAAATAGTCCGGTTTATTCAACAACAGTAAAGGGCAAACAAATAAAACACATTTGTTTTCCTCTGTCAGAAAATACTGTGAATAATCATTTTTACAAACAACTTTCCCCATAAAAGGATCAAAGAGTCAGAGACCTGGACCTAAGGACTATTTTAGGAAGCAATTTAATACATTTGTAATCAACAAAATCATTTTAAAATCAATTGTTGTGAGACAAGTCGTTGGTTTACTTAGCACTAAACGGATCATTAGCAGAAAGGCAGTCATTAATGAGAAAAGGGACACCGACAGGGTGAGCAGGATCGCGACAGAGTGACTTGCTGCACATTATCTCCTAAAAAGACAATGGAGACCTGTTGCCATTAGGGAAAATATTTGTTCTGCATTAGTATAGCGTAACTCAGAAGTGTTTGAAACGTAATTTAACCATGACTCTTAAATCTGGGTATTAACTGAACCGTGACGTTTGGGAGAACACATGATGGAACGGAAAGGACTTGGGACAGTCTTACCAGGTGCTGGTCGTTGAGCAGGTGCACCACTCGTGCGGTCCATTCCCCCATGGGCACCAGGTCCGGAGAGGTCCTGTTGAGCCGGAGCAGACACAGCGCTGCACTCTGCTTCACGCTGTCCATCGTGTCCCTGCAGGCACAAGTCAATCCAATACACCATTATGTCTTGTGATTACACGTGTATTTTTATTAAAGGAACAGGTACAATCATACAGGGTCCCAATTGAGACCATGATCTTCATTCATTTTCATTTCTTTCTTAGAACTAACCATCCGGTGCAGGACATTCAATTGCATCAGCCCAAGGCGTGCACAGGATGTTGATGTATATATTCTCAGCTGCATCACAGAACTCGTCTCTAAGATTTGACCATAAGCGAGGGTATGAGCGTTCAGTGTCATAAGAAGATTATACATTTCTGAAATGAAACCCTTTTTGTTAGGCACAATTTCAAAATCACGAGGTCATTTTGGGGGTGTATGTGGAAACGATGGAAATTGGGGTTTAACAAAATGTCTTACCTGAAAATATCTAAAAAAGGTCTTGCCCAGCGTATTTGTCTTTCAGGCTGACATTTGCATTTTGAAACTGCTTGTGGATCAAATGAATTGAGTTTGAGACTTCACCAGTTGAAATGTCTTCATACAAAATCATTTTGATGTACAAACCCTGCCACCAGGATGCTGGGAATTTGAGAGGCAAAAGCTTCAGCCATCTCCCTGCTGCCCACATTAGCGATGCAGTGCAGGGCCAGGTTCATGAAGGTGGGGTTGCGGCTGGCCAGGTCATTCTTGATGCCGTTGTTGATGAGACTGATCAGGTCGCTGTTAGAGTTCACCAGCACCGAGATGAACAGGTACCCCTGGAAAGGCACATGGGGGAATGTTTTAGTGTATACTCCTTAGTCCCACACCTGTGCACAAACATATTTCCATGACAGCTTGGTATGTGAACATGAGGACAAACTTACGATCTGTTTCTCTGTGTACTTGTTGGAGCTGAGGAGGTTGACGGCCTCCATGTGTCCAAAGTCGATGTCATGGCCCAGGAGAAAGATGAAGAGGAGCTTGCAGACGTACTTCTTTTTACTGTAGCCGTCTAAAGCCTTGTCTCCTACTCACACAAGGACACACACACACACACCACCAAAAATTGATTAGAATACAAACAAAAGCTGGATTTTATTCATTCAATTTGAAAGACAAATGACTGGTGGGACTAAAATGATTTATTAGGATATCTAGGGCTAATTCAGGATTAAAATACTGCACCTATGGATGTTAATGCATCCATAGGTGCAGTACTCTAATCTTCATAAATACTTATTATTACTGAAGTTTTTTTTATTTTCATCTTAAAGGGATAGTGGAAATGGAACCTCAAATAGTTTCGTTTTAACTTATATACAAGCATAATTACGTACCAAAACAATCACACCTGATTAAAAAAATATAATAATTGCCTTACGCATGTTAGAAGCACTTTATTGCAGCTTCCCCGAAGTTTTTTAGAAACGAAATGTTCGACTCAGCCAAACCGGAAGTGACGAAAACTTAGGAAGACGATACGATAACAAACCATGGCGTCTATGCAGAATGAACGTGGAAGGGCAAATATACCAGACAAAGAAGAAGGATTGTACGAGGTATCCAGTGATGATAGCGAGTCAGAAACATCCTCTCGGCTTTCCTACGAAAATGTCGTTTTAGGAACTGAATCTGAATCCGGTTCAGTAAGCGACGATGGTGACAATATTGAGCCAGACGATGGACCATTACGTCCTTATTTGTTCGAGCCCGAGCCCGAGGTGATGGTTCACGGCATGGGCAATGGCGAGGATGACCAGGACCAGGCGCCAGATGATGCACCCCTACGCACAAATAATCTTGACTGGTAGGTCCCTAAGCATAGCTCACGCATCTTAAGATCACCTGTAGCCTTTACAAATATTAATCATTGTTAACCAGTTAAGGCCGAAGGTCCCCCCAGTGGACCCCTCCCACAGTTTTTTTTCTCTCACATGTCTCAGGGCTTCTTAACATTTATGAAACTATTAATGTTTCATACCCTTTTAAAGGTAAGAAACTCCGCTAACTGACAATAAGAACAATTGTTAGCTAGAAAAAACACAAGAGTAATACCAAGCCTTTGAATTAGCATTGAGCGAAACAATGCTAACTAATGCTAACGCTTTTTTACACACAACACACGGTAGAAATGCCCTTATTACTATCTTAACTGCACAAACAAGATATACGATTTAAAGCTGAGACTCCACAGATGTAATGTCATCACTGTAAGACCTCGAATTCCTATAGCTATCAGCCAGAAAAGAGAAAGTAAACAACATCCGGTTCCAAAAATATTACAATAATTACGTCTTACCTTTTTTGATTTGTGATCAAAAGTTGTGTTCAACGGAATAAAAACGCATCTCAAGGTTAATCCAATGTCGTTGTGTCACGTAGAATTTTTTACTGATAATCAATCATCATATTTATGGCAATATACTCGGTACCATAATAAAGGTCGGCTATTCACATGCAAATGCTATTGAATGTCCGCCATTGTTTGTGCCCGTCTTCCTATGCTCTCGTCATCACCCGAAGATTCCCGACGATTCCCGAAGTATTTCGTTTCATTGAGAGGGCGCAGTAAAATTGAAAATAAAATGAAACTAGGCGCATGAAATTAAAAAAAATTGTTTATTATGCTTCTTTTTAATAAAAATACATAAGTTAAACCCAAAATTCGCGGATTTCCACTATCCCTTTAAATAAACCTTCAATTGTGAGAATGTGAATATTATTTATGGCTATATCACATTTAACTCCTGAAAAAGCCTAAGTGAGTCTCATGTTTACCCTTAAGGAATCCCTTTGAATGCCTACGTTGGTCATCTGTGATATGACATATGGCTTGCACTGAAAATATTTATTCATAATTGTCTTCTCCACTTAACTACTGTTGTGTGAACTCTTTACTGTCCTATCCTGTGTTTTACTCTTAATGCTGTAGCTGCTCGGTCACTGGATGTCCCTACTGGGATTAATAAAAGGTGCCAACATTGGACACAAAGGGTGCATCCTGGTCATTTAGTCACCACAGAGCATCTCTCCCGTACTCACAGCTCCGTTAGTCTGTCGCAATGGAACAAAAGCAGAGGACAATTTAGGGGCTAATGTTTCGGGAGGTGGAATGATTAAGGGGGGAATGATTGGTAATGCATAAAAAAAGCATTACGCTGATTTGTATTTTGCTGAAAAACGTATCTTAAATACTTGCATCTATGGGTACAATTTGAATTAGCTTACTACTTGTGATTAAAACTTTGAAAATCGTCGTGTTTTTTCAGCCAGTTATTTCCCTCGTTCGTAATAACGCCCGGTACACATTTCATCTGAGACGAGATGAGTTGTTGAGGCGGTCAGTCTTTGTAAATAAAATCACACACTCGACACACTGTAAAGCCTTGGCAGATGCATAACAACGCTCTGATCAAATACTGGGCTACCCCACACAAACATTTGATGAAAAACACCAACGGGGTCAGATTGCTTAAACTAAGGGATTGATGGATTGTCAAACAATATCTGAGACCTTCTCCCCCTACAACTTTCCAGCATTGGATTTGACGTAGCCAAAATTGCAACTTGTAATACTGTGAGAGAGCACATAACAAACAATCATTGATGAAGTTGACAAGTTGGCCTCGTGCAGGCTGAGGGGCCCGTAGAGAACACATTATAATGAGCATAGGCCTGAATGCTGGGCAGATTCATTCTGGAGCAAACTAATTATAGGCAGCATGGAACAGGTGGCAGGAGAAACAACACACACACATTCACAGAGAGGTGTGTGGACTTTTGACAGCGCAGACACATCAAAAACCCGTGAGGAAACTAAAAGACGAAGAAGAAGCTGGGACACAGTCACAAGATGAGTTAGCAGAGCAGATTAAACAGCAACAGGAACACATGTGACATGGAAGGAAAAGGATTTGAATAAGAAACAGAGCAGGTGCTTGTACAATTTGATCCATGTTGTTCACCTACCTTTGAATTTGGAACGGATATTGGCCAGTTCTTTGTTTATCCTCTTGACCTCTGCTTCTTTGCTCTTACCTACACACAGATCAAGACATTGTGCATGTTACATGTCGCTGTGGATACTCAGACATCTGAATAGATCCTATTCTTGTTTACAATGAGGTTCTTTTCATTTTATGAACCGAGAGGAAATAAATCCACATTCGGTGTTCCTCATGCACAACGATATGTCCGCCAAAACAACATCGTGGCTCTTCTATCTACGAGGTTCTTATAAAGGACGCTGGAGCTCAACTATACAGAGACATAGTGGCTACGGCTAGAAACCACGTCATCAGTATACTTAGAGTAGCTTCATCTTCTCCAAGAACAGCCTGAATGATTGGTGTCATGGATTTAAAGAAGGTGCTGGAAGCATTCCTTTGAGATTCTAGTGCATGTTGTTATTCTACAGAGACAATTGTAGATGTTTTTCTATGATCACTATTTCATTACTTATCTCCACATACATGTATACAATACAAACCGTCATTACTTAGAGATCCATTTGTGTAGATCCTCATTTTGAGAAGAGGGTCACTGATTATATGTGTAGGCGTGGGAACCTAGGTCATGTGTTGTTATGGCAACAGGGTCATTAGCAAAGGGTTTACAGGACAGCTCAACAGAAGAGATGTTTAGGAAAACTGTTGACAGCTACGTTTCAGTGTTGAGGAAACAGACGGAGGTGAGCAGATGCAAACAGTTGGTGTCTATATGAGAGTGAGTCGGCCTTCAACAACCTCTGCAGCTCAGATCAGCACTCAGTGATCATAAACACCTGTGGGGATTATAATGGAGCTGCTAGCCAGTACACTTACTAACTATCAGGAATCCCATTGCATTGGCCCCTAAGTGATACAGCTGTGAACAGTATCATCTGAAACACTTATCATTGTTGCAAGAACCAATCTCATAAATCATTAAGCCGTAAAATGACAGGGTGATGACTTTATATTATAAGACTAGGTCATAATAACAAGATAATACATCATGATGGGCTATATAGGATGCAAAAGTCACCTCATAATAATGTCTTTTCTTTGGTGACTGAAATCTGTTTCCTCATTTGAGCGCACATCATAAATGCAAGTGAATCTAAAATGCTGAATAAACACTTAAGGAGAAAGGAAATGTTAAGCAAAGCATATGGTGACATTACAGTGTAGACATACACTTGTAAGAAGAGTTAATGGCCTATTTCATAATTGTATCCCACTTAAACTGACAGACATGTCTCCTGAATGTCTCTAGCTGGACGCCTGAAAACACGGTGGACGTTTTTTAAGTATAGTTGGGCGGATTTTTAGCCTATTTTAGGAGAAAGAGATCCTGGCAACATGTGAAATATCCTTGACCACAGATGTTCATCATTGAATACGTGCACGTCCTCACAAAGGCTCAACTGTCAGCTGTGACGTTAACGCAGATACAAAAAACACAGATATATATAGTGTTGGAAAGGATTCGCTTGGTTTCTGGCAGAAAACTATAAAACATACCAACCTAAAATGCAAAAGGCTAATAAAATGGGCAGTTTGGCATTATCTCCATTTAGCCGTCGGTCCACGCCCTTCGACGTGACGTTAGCAAGTGGAAGCTAGCGGCTAGCTTTAATTAGCAAGTGTGGGCTAGCCAGCAGAGTGGTCGTCTAAGGTCGCTGAAGTTACAAAAAGTATGAGTAAGGGGCATGGAAAACATGTTCTGAAAACCATCCGTCATATAGCGAATCCTCGTTACACCAGCTAGCTTGTTACATGCCTATCCAACAACTGTGTATGTGTGTGTGATAAACAAACTTACAGTTCCTGATGTCAGAGATGAACACGGCCAGGCCACGCATCCCATCACCTTTTGAGACTGCAGGCATGTTGTATACTCCCTTTTAACGTTACGTTTAATTTTCTGAATCAAAAAACGCCTAACCATATAGAGTAACTTTGTTTTAAAGTGTGCTAAGCAGCTAGCAACCGCAGCAGTACCGGACAGGGAGCCCCGATATATGACAGAGACAGACAGGAACCAGAGCGGCTGCGGCTGCGTCCGGTTTCATACAGACCTAGTCCGACACCTACAAGCCAACCTACATCCAAAAACAAGGGCTGCGTTCCATACATGTGGAGTAAACAACATGGCGAATGAGGCATTTTTATCACATACAAATATGTGCACGGCTTGGGGAAAAAGAAAAGTAGATTTAAAAAATAAATGTATTTTTCGTACTTTATTTTAGTTGTGCTGGCTATTTTATATGGTTACAGTAATCCAGAGACTAGCTGTTATCATAGAAAAAGCAGATTGTCCAATTCATCTCAATGCTGGGACAATACATTTGTTTAGCATTAAGATGTAGCCTACAATATATATATATATATATTTAATATATATATATATATATACGTTGATTTTTTTCGAAATCACCACATTTTGAGTTTAATTCTTTCACACACAGTGACGTCACGAGCTACCCACAATGCAACACCCGCCATATATATATATAAATACGCCATTTTCATGGAGGTGCAAAAATCCTGGAAGTGCAAATATAAACAGCTAGCTAACGTAGCAAGGCAGAGCGCACTAGGTTTTTTTTCTGAATTAACGACCGAAGAAATCGCTGCATGTCTTCGGATTACATCTCTGGATTTGAGTGGTGTGCTCTAGGTCGTTACCAGCGTAAACTAGAGCTGTGTGGGTTGTCGGATTGCCTTTACAGACTGCGTCGATTTTGGCTGCATCTACGTCTAATTTCTGGAAACACCAGGTGAATACCCCACTTGTCACAATAATATTATCATGCCATTGCATATATGTGGTATTTTAGAGTTGACTAGATATTGATTAAGGCAATAGACTATGATATTCAGTACAGGAAGTTTAGCAACACCTAGACGGTGTACGGCTAAACCCTTGGCCTGCTTGCACCTCGCGTAAAACGGCGGATACCGGAAGTACGGTGTCGCCCTCGGCCCAATACCCGTGTGTGTGAAAGAATGGTTTTCGATTTCGGAAAAGTTGTCTTCCCAAAAGCTTGTACAATCCAGCCTATATTGCAGACAGTTTTTGGTCATTTGTGTCCTTTTCCTAATTCTTACCCCCCCCCCCCCCCCCCACCATTCTTAGTGAAATGAGAGTCTCGGAATCTATTATAATCATGTGTAGGCTATATATTTTATACACATGATTATTTTATTCTTCACAGCAGTCTCTTGGCTTCTTTTTGAGTTTAACACAAAGAGTAGCATGCCAATCAGACTTTTTTAGAAAAGTGATTTGCTGCTACATATATCATCCATGTAAATTATTTTACGATGTTTCAGTACAGCATAATAAAATAAACGAACAAAAAAAAACACGTGTTTCGGAATGACCCTGCACAGAGACCATACGACAGTGGGATACGTTGGATACCTGCAACAATCAGTTATGCACAAAGGTCTGTGTTCTCTAATTGTATGAACAGAAAGCAGATGGATTACACTAGGATTGATTTTCATCAAGCTTCTCAAATCTGGTTCAGATCCGGTTGTAAATGTGTTTAAATATGCCAGGTCTCATATGAAGCCTCCTAGAGGTACTAGGCTACTGTTTAAGACACAATTAAAGAACCAGCTGGAGACTGCCTGTCTCTTGATATAATTACAATTACTCATCATAGATGGATAACAGCATGGGTGAAATGAACATGTGCCCTAGGCCCTGGATTGAAGGGGGTCCTTCTCCTCTTAAATGGATCAGCAGGATCAGTCATCTTACAATAAACTCAAATGAACTAAAACTGACTACACAATCAGAATACACTGACAACTCAAAATATTTGACAATATCGTGGTAACGACCTGTCAATCAAAAGGTAGCTGCTCTAAAGCATAACCTGCTTTATCAGCTTTTAGGCTCTAAAAGGGATTATAGTTTACAAGATAAACATCATGCAGTATTGCAAAAATGTTTAAACCAGAAATTAAGACCTCAAATTTGTAGGGAAAATGTTCAATAAGGAAAAAAACCAAGTAAGAAGGATGAGGAGTTTCTCATAGACTTTTATAACATTTCTTTAAGCTGGATTTGCCTTCGCCTCAAATGAAAGATATTAGGGATGAATAGTAAAAATAAGATCAATATATACACCGTAACCAATACTGGAGCATTTGTTACGTCAGTTATCCGTGAGACATGCAAGTAAAGACTGCTCCATCGGTCGACATTGGCCCTGCAGCTGGTTAACTGCAGAGCCATACAGATATTGAATTAAACCATCAGTATATTTACATTGTTCGTTGCAACAACAATTCTCTTTTCCTGGAAAAACCCTCTATAATTTGTTACAACTGGAGTAAATACAATTGAATTTCGTTTTTATTGTAATTGTTGCCAAATAAGTAGGCTACATACAGAAGATAAAAAAACAAAACAATCATGGATATAAAAAAATAACATTTAATTTAAATTTGACTTTTCACTTCACACACAATATTACTCAACCATTACATTTGTGTGGTTTTACCCCATCTGTCCTCTCTTAGCCTAATAAACCCACATTCATCGTGTGAGAGCAAATCACTAAGCCACATCCTCAGTCTTTGTTATGTTCCCAGGTGGAGGCCAGATACTACTTAACATAGTTATAGTTTTAAGAACATGGCTTTACTTATTTCTTGAACGTTGGGAGTCAATGTCCTATTTGATATAAATCAATTATTTAGAAATCACATACACATACTTCAGCTATATATAAAGCAAGTAGATGCACAGATGTAAAACAATGCAGTTTATTAGCACGTGTGACGCAAATAAAGTTGATGAATGCAGCCACAAATCCTAAGCTACTCCATGAGGATGTCTGACTCACTCATTTACAGTAGGGGAAACCTTATAAATGTTACTCCTAATCGCTACTGATGGCCAGAACTAGTAAAGATTAGGAGAGTGCATTTACGTAGTCACGTTGTGCCTCTCTTCCTCTGTTTCTGGCTGTTCTTTTCATACTCTTGTTTCTCTGAGAAGAGAAGAAATACTATTCTAAAAAGGAGCTGACACATGGTGTCTCTTCACTTGTACACTTGAGGGGTCAGAGTTCATATGGTGAGGGATTCCATGAGCGATATGCGCCGGCCTGTGCCTTTACCTTGGACTTCTAATAAAACTGCATGGGTCTTGATAGATTGAGTGGGGAAGTTCATGAGATCTTTCTAGAGGGTTATCAAGAATAACTTTTATCCAATGACCTTTTCCCTCTCTGTCTGTGTATTCTCTTGTTCCGATTAACCCAGCCAAATCTTTTTTCTTGTTTTGTATCTATATCTACGCCGGGATCCGGAGTCGAGGCTGATCCTCTTGCTGTAGTCCTGTGTCTTGGATCCTCTATCCCGAGTTCTGGATTAAGTCGTGGACTTCGGGTCGTGGCTGAACCTGTCTCTGCGGTCCTGCCTTGGGTCTCGTCATGCTGCTTCCCTGATGGCTTCCACAGGATAGCTGACATCCTCGTGGATTCATCTTCTTATTACAGACACATGCATTTCCTAACATTCGGTCTATATGCTGTAAAATGTATTATCTCTTGAATTTACACACGGCATCTATTGCACGTCTGTCCGTCCTGGGAGAGGGATCCCTACTCTGTTGCTCTCCCTGAGGTTTCTCCCATGTTCCCCTTAAACTGTGGGTTTTCTCTGGAAGTGTTTCCTTGTACGATGTGAGGGTCTAAGGATAGAGGGTGTCGTTTTTCTCATACTGATATTCTGAACAATCTGTGCTGTTGTATTTGCTGTAAAGTGTCTCTACTGTAGGCTATTTTTATTATATGTACAGCACTTTGGCTGCACTTTGTTCGACCAAACATCGTTTATAAATGTGCTATATAAATAAAACTTGATTTGATTTGATTTGAAAGATGATGGTTGCTCATAACAGTAAAAACCTTAACCCTCCATGCTTTCTAGGTATATTGGTGAATAACCAGCTAAAGCTGTTGGAAATAACTACCTTGGCAACAGTATGTAAAGACAATTGATTGAGGGAAACACTCACACGATCTTTCCATAGCATGGATTGATGAGCAGAACAACTAAATGTACAGTTTGTATAAGGAACAAGCCAGAAATACAACGTCAACAGCATTTTCGAAACCACCACAGTGAAACAGTGCAACTTGACAAAACTCTTAAAAGTCTGCATTTGAAAACAAAAATTGACAGTGCAATTGCAAATGTATCGAATTGATTTCGAAGCTTGGTTTGGTGACTGAACCTTTTGGCCTAGTTAATTCAGACCAAAACAATGATATCTAAATGGAAACGCGCCATAAGATCTTTACTTCTTCTATTCCTCTTTCTGGCTGGTTTTATGTTTGAATGGCATTGCTGTTGCTCTGTTTTATTAGACTTTTAGTTTGTGCTTTCTTTCCTTGGAAGCTTGTTGAACTTTGGAAAAAAGTGCTTTGTAAGCCTTTATCCTTCCTATAATTCTTACCAATAATTTAAGAACAAAAAAACGTAATTGCCACGTTTGAAGCAGTCATTGTGGTGCACTTCCCCGAAGTGTGTTAATCGTGTCCAGTACTAATCTCTCTTCTGCTGGAATAAATGGCTGCTCCCTCTCCATGCCCCCCACCCACTGCGGCTTCATAAACACCTCAGCATTTTGCTCTGCGCAACAGTACAGCTGGCCACTCATTCTGAGCTGAACTACTACTGCACTGTTCTGCTGCCAAGAGAAGGCTGTGTTTCCTTCGAAGAACTAACTGTCATCTACTTCAAACTTAGCTGTTGCTTGTGCAGAACAACTTTATTGAGAAACAACTGCATTTCTACTGCTGATCTAGAAACAGGCATGTATGTCAACAAGTCTGAAGAACAGGGGCCATTCAGAGGAGGGTCTTTGGACTCGGTAAACCCTGCTAATGAGGAGAAGCAGCTCAACAATGAAGTAAGTCCATGCATTATATGGTAATATAAAAAACCTCAACAAAAGAATAATGTTAGTTTTCTCAGGAGTTGTTTTAACCCTCTGATTTAACCTATTCCATGCACAATAAAGGTACAGAATTACCAGTTTTCAATACTATTTGAAACATAGCTTATTGTTTCTTGTAATATCTTTTAATCAAAAAATATTTCAGCACCCAGAATCTTAGGAAAAACATAAATGTTTTTATTTTGATATGTCCTCATATGACTTTAACTGTTTTGCCATGCAGAGAAAACTAAATGTTTTTACAAATCTAAATGAAACTTCCAGATATGGGTACAAATTGTTCTTTTTCTACTAATCGACACACATCACACTCTTTTTTGTGTGTATGGTTTTTTGCAGCGATTTTGACTTTAAAAGCCAATAATAAAATTAAACATGTATTTATTAGGACTGCCATTGTAAACATAGAATCACATAAATCATTACAGCTAGCAATTCAGATTGTTGCTAACAATAAAAAAAGTACTACAAGTCAAAACAAACAGTTTTAATATCCACTGTACTTTCTATCACTCGGAAAAAACTATAGTTGGTAGCCGCTGTGATACTCACATCCAGGTCTTTGGCAGTGTGAGCACCAGCTGCAGACATTCAAGCATTCAACCTCTTCCTTTTCACTCGTGAGACTTTATCCAGTTGTTGGGCAATAGCTGGGATGTGAATCTTCCACCCACACCTGATCAGTGTCTTCAATGTGCTTGTGGTGATGTGTGTGTCTTCTAGGTGCCTCCTCGTTTGTGGCGTTAGCATGCTCTTTGCCCAGCTACTTTAATGTGTTATACCCGCGATGCAATCTCCAGGGTGTGGTGCAGTTAAGGTGTTGTAAGCATGTAATGTGGTAACATCCAGCATGTTGTGCCAGAGCACCGTGGGCCATGTATTTCTTATGCATGTGTAGGTGCACGTCATCTGATTAATTGTGTCTACTTTTTGTTCTGTTGTAGGACCGTTCCAATTCTTGCTTTCCCTTCACCCTATTACCCACCACTTTGCTTCATGCATTCTGCTCAGGAAGGAAAAAAGACGTTTCAGTTGATTGAACTGAGCATAGCTACAGTGTTGTTGAATCAAATTTAAGAGCAGTTGAAATCCCTGGATTTTATTTTGTTTCATTATGGCCGTTATTTCTGGTTGTTCTGACAAGGGTCTGTAATCTGGACAGATCCTTCTCAAGAAGACACTGGTACAAAGAAAAGATTATGGTTTGATTCGGCCTACATATACTCCATATACAATCCTGAAATGTATCTTCAAGACTATACAATATTTGTACATTTGTTAACATTAATCACCTGTCTGTCTGATTCCAACAGTAAGACAACGTTCACTCCCGTCCACCTCTCTCAATGCTATACAGGCAACCTTGCATCACTGATCCAGCAGACTTTTATTTCATATTTTTGCTGGTTTGCCTGGATGATATTATAAAAGCTGCTTCTAAATGGCACAAGCTGCTTATCGACTGTGACACAGTCACCCGGGCCGACCTTTGCTCCGCAGTATGTCATGAAACAGTCACCTACCTGAATGCTGCCATGTAGTGTGAGTGCTGCTGTGCAGGCTAATCCTGACTCAGTGTAATCTCTTTAAACTGATTTTTTGTGTGATTGCAGAATCTGCGAAGTGCTGTCTAGTTCCTGATTAAACCATTTAAAGCACCTGCAGTCTCTCAAACTCAAGCACTTAGACATTGACGTCAGTTAAATTCCTAGGGTTTGTACGGATCAGGGCCTTGGTGTCTCCAGGACCACATTCTACCATGATGACAGAAATTAAAATAGGTTAAAATCAAATCTGAAACACGTTGATGTCACGGCTGGTCAAACCTTTCACAAGCAGACATTGCACATTCATTTGTCAAATAGACATCAATTTGTCATATACTATGTGAAGTGTCACGTAGTGAGTTAGCCAGCTAACAACAAATGGGGAAAGAAACTTTAACAATGTAAGATGACAATATGTCTTTGTGCAAACTAAGAGTTTAAAGTGCAAAAAAATATTTATGAAAAAACATTAATTCAAACTCTTTAATTAGCATGCTAATCAAGCTACATCCCACATGGTAAGCTAGCTAGCGAAAAAAATGATAATTTTTTAACAAGTTATAAATGGTGCACTTTGACTCAAGCTATGATCCGCATGTTAACAGAAATAGAAATAGAAAATATGAAATATATTCGCTCCAGTAATATAATTAAACGGTACCTGATGTGTTTTGGCTCAGACAGGGCAGTAGTGTGGTGCAAAGTGCATGCAGAGAGAATTTCAACATGTAATTCAAGAGAGCGCTGTTGAACGCTATGTGTGAATACAATGTAAATGGGCATGCGTTAAACCAAAACATGCCATAAGAGCTAGTTTTTGTTTTTACGTTTACACTAAAAGTTTTCGATCCATTTTTATTTACAGTCTGACTATTTCTGTTGCTCACTGATGTTTACAATATCCATTTTTCAAGGCCAGTACATTAGGAGAGCATCAAGACAATAGGACCGTCTCCACTGGAAGGCCCACCAGCTCCAAGAGAGATGTTTCAACCATAATATTTTCACTGAAAAATGAAGTCGGTGGTCTCATCAAAGCACTTAGGCTTTTTCAGGTGAGTGTTTTATTAACTCTTATGTTTTAACTGTTATCTTTTTTGGTTGAAGTTCTCTTATCTCATTTAATTTGATCAATGTTTTCAAACCTTTTACACTTGTTAAGTTAATCTTTTATGTTATGTTTGTGCAGGAAAAACACGTCAACCTTGTTCACATTGAGTCCCGCAAGTCCAAACGTAGAAATTCCGACTTTGAGATCTTTGTGGATTGTGACACTGACAATGAACAGCTCAAGGAGCTGACTCAGCTGCTAAGGGAGCATACTGATATAGTTGAGATAACTCCATCAGAGAACTTCACTATACCTGAGGATGGTAAGCCATAGATGACTTTTGACTGTACTAAAAAAAACTTACAACCAACATTATCACTGTATATGGTTAAAATGCAGGGGCTGTTTTGTTACGGTGTATTCAATATCGACACACAAAATCAGAACCTAACATATTTCTATATTTCCATATTGTGTTTCAGATATGGCTGTGCCCTGGTTCCCACAGAAGATCTCTGAATTGGATCTGTCTGCAAACAGGGTTTTGATGTATGGCTCTGAGTTAGATGCTGACCATCCGGTATGTAGGGCAGTCACAGAGGTGCTTCTTTACTAATAGAATAAGACAGTTATGAAGATGGATACTGATATTGTGAGTGTGTTTTTGCAGGGATTTAAAGACAACATGTACCGTAAAAGAAGAAAATATTTTGCTGATTTGGCCATGAGCTACAAACTGTAAGTTTCATTGTTTGTTTGACTGTCATGCAAACACTTTCATTTTGCATTGATGTATACAACGGATTAAGGTGACCAGTTTCAACATTTAGGGATAAACCCTTTCAGGGAACACCAACCCCAAAACATAACGAGTTCATTTCTAGTAGTCCTAAACCTGGAAAGGCTCCCTCGTCTTAAAGTAATCATTTTTTAAATGAAGTCATGAGCATCATATAGTACTATTATAAAGGTGGTGTTAATATTTGAAGATTATGCTGCTGAATAAATTAAGTATCATAAACATTTGTTTGCCAAGGGTCATGTTTTAGACTGTCTGAGAAACCCTTGCAATGCTAACTTCTGGGACAGCCCACCAAAAGATGTCATCCCTGCAAGACATAAAATAAATAGAGCAACTCCAGGGCTAAATCAAATTAATTCAATAGTTTTGAGAAAAATAACTTGTGAAAGATAGAAAGCAAGTAGGAAAATAAAGCATAAAGGCAAACTCAAAAGAATTTGGGTGAACAAGCGAATACGTCAGGAAAGGTTGTAGATTTGTATAATTTTTTAATTAAACTAAATGTTGTTTGTCCCTTGATTGCTAAATCAGAAAAACAAAAAAAGACTGCCGTGTGTCACCCTATTAAGCTAGATGGAATTAAAATAAGTTTTAAATGTGAAGAATGTTTGACGTAAAAGCATTTCAAAACAAAAAGCAACTCATGTCATTTAATTACTTGTTAACCAATTGAATGCATCCTTAAGAATCTTGCCCTGGCTACAACCCTTATTGTAAACTACATTAAAAGGACAAAGACATTTGAGTTACTTTCTCATATGGGATTCTATTCGACAATTCGTTTTGTCAATTGCAAATATAAAATGTAAAAAATTGAAAGGAAAAACGTGGTGGTGGTGGTACAGCTTTCTCAATAACCTACTGCAATGACAGAAACTTGGATCAGTTATAAAGTTACGAGTTAAACCAAAGTAATACTTGTTGAGATGCAATAATACAGTATCACAAAATGATATTTATTGATTCATTACATTGTTACACCAATATTCTATACCATTGTATTGACGTCACAAAGCTGACTCTTTCTGTATGTCAGTGGCGATCCTATTCTTCGTGTAGACTTCACTTCAGAGGAGGTGCGTACCTGGGGGGTGGTGTACAGGGAGCTCAACAAGCTGTACCCCGGCCATGCCTGCAAGGAGTACCTGAAGAACCTGCCCCTGCTGACCAAATACTGCAACTACAGCGAGGACAACATCCCACAGCTGGAGGACGTCTCACACTTCCTCAAAGGTAACGTTTCAACCAGCTTTGATCATTCTGTGGGTCTCAGCAAACAGCACGATACAAACAGAGTGTTTAAGCCACACCATTTTTCAGTATTCAGTATCAGTATTTTCTGCCACATTTCCCTACGAAAGGTCTAAATTGACTGAGTTATGATGTCTAGCATCAAGTATGGGAGTGCTTCTATTCTCTACAATAACGGTAAATGGACTGCTGGTTGTGGTCAAAGATTCATTTGTATATGTATTTAAATAGCAATGTGCCTAAAAAAAAATTGGGCCTTATGCAAGAACATTTCTGTATTCTTTCCTGAAGCTCTTTTACTTTTTGAGTGCTCTATACCACCTGTACGTGAGCAGGTGCACTTTCATGGTAAGTAACCTTAGTATAATCAGGGCTTCAGACATACGGTGGCCGACAGGGGCAAACGCGTTAGAACGGCCCAAACACTTCCATTAGGAGAAACACGCTACATTTTCAAAAACGATGCAAATATAAAAGCACACATGTGCACATGCAAATGAAGAAAGATCTTCACCAACTTGATAACATGTGCAGCATTTAGAAAACATTCACCAACTTCATGAAACATGCGCAGTATTTATTAAAAACTAAATGCTGCAAACACCAACATCTGCAATAAGATCGGGAGGAATCGGACAATCACATAGTTAACATAAGCTGATAAGACTTACATTTTAGGTACGTTTCCAGTGACAGTCACTTGGACTTACTGCTTCATTTTGTAGCCAGCTGATATATGGGCCAAGACTCCCTTTTTGTGTAATTTGTACTTGTCTGATTATCAATTGAAGAAAGTAAAATGGAGCTAAGAGACGCCTAAAACAGTTCTTATTTTTGGTTTTATTCATTTATTTTACTCAAAAGTCAATCAAATGCTAAATTGCTGTCAGACGATGGGGAATTTATCCCAATGCTTTCACGCAGACTGTTTACCTGCATTCACTTGAATAAACTTTATCGGGATTACTTAAAATTAATTCTGTTTGTGGTTCTTGTATAAAGCCCATTGTTCCTGATAATCCAGGTAATTCACAGACTTGGCTTTTTCATGTTTTCAATGGAAAGTACCTCTACCAAAGAAACAGACAGGCAGTCTGTGTGAATGTGTGTGTGTGTGTGTGTGTGTGTGTGTGTGTGTGTGTGTGTGTGTGTGTGTGTGTGTGTGTGGTGTGTGTGTGTGTGTGTGTGTGTGTGTGTGTGTGTATGTGTGTGTGTGTGTGTGTGCAGAGCGCTCAGGCTTCATCATTCGGCCAGTAGCAGGGTACCTCTCCCCCAGAGACTTTCTGGCGGGCCTGGCCTTCAGAGTGTTCCACTGCACTCAGTATGTCCGCCACAGCTCTGACCCTTTGTACACTCCAGAGCCGTGAGTACAAATGTGCATACGCACAAGACTTTCACTTTGTACTACTGTTGCAATGATCACGAGTTGAAAACACCTACCCACATTTGCCTTCTCAAATGTGTGTTTGATGCAGAGACACGTGCCATGAACTGCTGGGTCATGTTCCTCTGCTGGCTGAGCCCAGCTTCGCCCAGTTCTCTCAGGAGATTGGTTTAGCTTCGCTGGGAGCTTCAGATGATGCTGTTCAGAAACTGGCCACAGTGAGAACACACACAAGCACGCAAATGCACACACATGCAAACACACACCACCGAAAGAAACCAAAGAGGAGACTAGAGCCAAATAAGTATATACTGTACACTTATATATACTACTACACATTGACACTTTTATTTGAGTGAAATGCCCCCATTTTATTGAAACCAGCTCTCAGTTTCACATTATGAGTGTGTTTGTCTCCTCGGTTTGATTTAAGCACAAAATCCCTTATAAAATGGAGTGTTGTTGAGCAGCTTACTGATAATTGCTAATGGCTTGCCATTGTTCAATATCACATTATTGTTTGTTCAAAGTTCCCTAAAGTTTGAATTTACAAATGTTTTCAACGACATCTATTACTTACATTCTAATATTGTGGATGAATAGGATAATGTCCAAATGACAACCTGTTTTGTTCTAGTGTTATTTCTTCACAGTGGAGTTTGGTCTCTGTAAGCAGGAGGGCAGGCTCAGGGCCTATGGAGCTGGACTCCTCTCCTCCATCAGTGAACTCCAGGTAACACATTATGTCCTTTGTCTAGCTTTATACAATACACAATCATCTACTGCACTTTATGCTCATACTGTGAACTAACTATGCCTCTGCTTTCTTTCAGAATCTTTACAAAAATTAAATTACTTGAGATTTTGTGCTAGAAAACACTTTCTTTGCACATTACAGTTCCTGGTTTATAACAAAACCATATATTTTTAATACAGCAACAGTATTTTTATTCATTTTTGTAATTATTTCAATTTATATGAATGAACCAATACTGACCTTATCAGTCAGTCCTTTAGCATTAGCCACAGCAATGAGTGTTGGGGGGAAACATTGTAACTAGCTTTTACTACCACTTTTGAGTGGGGTACTTCACATTTTAATGTTTCGGTCAGCCAAAACCATGTTACATGACCAATCAGGTTTGGAGCAGCATTCTCTCAATATGGAAATGCATCTTCAATATGTCTCTTTCTTCCATCAGCATGCTTTGTCTGGCAAGGCCCATATCCTTCAGTTTGACCCCGTGGTGACCTGTAACCAGGAGTGCAAAATAACTACGTTCCAAGACGTTTACTTTGTTTCTGAGAGTTTTGAGGACGCCAAGAACAAAATGAGGTCAGTATAATTCCGCTCTGTAAATACAGATGTCTCTTAATAATGTTGCTAACAACATTTTAAATAATCCCAGTTGCAATGGGCAACCTATTTTACATACATTAATTACCTAGCACTGTAACATGTTTCATAGAGTTGAATTAGCCTGCTTTAAATTGCTTATGCTAAGCTAGGCTAATTACCTCCTGGCTCTAGCTCTATACTTTGCACACAGACATGAGATTAGTATCAATTGTCAATTGTCACATTTGGAAATAGAGTAAATATATAGAGTAACTATTTATTTACCAACAGCATTTCCTCTATCTGTAACCTACCTAAACATTTTGTTAGCATACCAAAACATTAGCTTAGCTTTAACAATTCCTTTTGTTGTGTATTCCCCAAGGAGGTAACTCACAGTATTGTTGTTTATGTTGCATTAACTAAATGCAACTTCTTATTAAGTCCCTTCTTTCCCCTTTTTCGGAATTTGTACTGTTTGAATTCTGAATTTCACTTTTCAAATGTTGCCGCACAATATGGTTGTTGAATGTTTTTGTATTTCGACGCTGTTAAAGTGATGTGAAACATTTATCTGGGTTACTAATAGAAAAAACGTTGCTGTGTCTGCAGGGAATTTGCTAAGACCATTTGGCGTCCATTCACAGTACGCTACGACCCCTACACCCAGAGTGTGGACGTCCTGAAGGACACCAACAGCATCAACAGCATGGTGAAAGACATCCGACATGAGCTGGACATTGTAGAAGACGCCCTAAACCGACTCCACAAACATCTGAAGGACTGAGGAGGGGTCAGAAAACACTATATGGAGTTTAATCAAGTTATAATTAAACAGTACTTGTTGCCTCATGATTGGCCAGACATATAAATGTTGTGTAAAGCTGCCGACTCTTAAAAAAAATAACAGAAAAGTGAGGGATATGTACACGACCATCCAGCTCTAAGAAGAGGTTTAATCAAACAAGTAAAAAGACCTGTGTGGGTGCACCGTGCTGTATTTCCCCCCAAAAAGCAGTTCAATAAGCATGTTAATCCCGACTGATGCTGCTGGCGTCTTTACACAGGTATGCATCACAACAATATGCTTATATCTATATATTTGGCAGTATTTACATTTTAAATTGACAGGTCACTTCCAGACATTTGTCCTTGTTTTCGTCTTTCATGTGTTTTTCAGTTCATGATCGTGAGTTGATATATTTTGGTTTTCAAAATGCTATCCACAAAAGATGACTGTCAACTTCCTATATAAAGTCTTGTACATTTATTGTATTGGGCCTGAGACTAGTTAAAGTTGAGTAGACTTACCTGAACACCAAACAAAAGCTTAGAACTTGGCTGTTCAATTTAAAATGTAATAAATGCAACAAGTAATGTGAGAATACATAATTCTATGATTGATTTCTTATCATAACACAATAGTGGAGTGATAATGTCTTGCCTTAAGGGGTACCTTATAGCTGTAGTAATTTATTTTAAGTTGTATATGTTGAAAAGGAATCTAACTTCGATACAACCAATGTTAATATCTAGGTCGTCTCCGATACCGAGCTCCGATGCTGATAAGGCTCCGGAAAACGGCCGTCCTACCTTTAGGATTAAACCCCCCAGAATATAAACGCAAGATCACCGTAATCTGTTTAGGGGGGCAGCTAACAGCATGGCCTCTAACACCAGCTGCCCGTCGTATAACTTATTTCAGGCACTAAAACGTTGGATGTCCGACCGCCAGGATAGCAAAACGGAGAGTGTAGTGCAGTAGGTGTTGGTGGGCTGGTAAGACCCCAGGGCAGTATCTAAATTGCCCCTGGAGGAGAAACATACAAAATACAAACCGGTTTTATTAGGTATTTTAACAAAAATAGAGGATTTACAAGATCCAAAAAATAACAAAAGAAAGATACAAACGTTTTACTAGGACACAAGGTCAAAGTACAAAAGCAAGCCCAGGCCCAGGGCCCAAGGCCCAAGAGCCAAGAGCCAAGACCCAAAATCAAGCCTAAAAAATGTCCCCCAAGCTCTCCCGTTTCTCTTCACTCATCATCTTGTATAGTCTCTTCCCTCCTCCCTCTCTTCATCAGGTGTCATTCCCTTTCCTTTCTTTTAGTGAGAAGGAGGTCACATAGGTTACTCTTACTTAATGAAACAATTAAAACGTGAAGTTAAAATTGAACAAATGAAAACTATAGTAATGATATGCAATTTTAACAAAAGTGGATAAGAAAATGTTTCAATGTCAATGTCATGTTTAGAATTTAGATTTATTTTAACTTCAATTTAAAATATGCAAACACTATACTTTAATTTATTAACAGAAACAAACTTAACAAAACGGTCACTATTGTCTCTAATGGGGCTTTCACACCAACGCGGTTCCCGTTCTAGCTTCGTGTTAGAGCTTTTCTGGTTCGGAACCGGTTTTTCTTCACCGTTTACTGATTTTCTCCCCAATGGCGTTCACTACAACAACAATGGGGGACTGCGTTTATTCGCCGGTTAGCTCCAGGTTAGCTCACATGGCAGCGGCCGCTGTAAAGTATTCACTGTCTGACTGTCACACAAGCAGCTGATACATATCCCCAATTCCCCATAAGTGAATGTGTGTCAGTATGAATTGACGCTGTTTAGCGTCAAAACGCTGTTATGAAAGTTTCTCTGGTATAAAATGGGTGATGTTAGCATAGCAACCGAAGCTAAACTGACTATCTTGACTACTTGTTGTTGCTATCCTATTGTGGCATAAGCCGTTTTCTACAGGCACATTTTACTGGCGTATTATTCATTATGATTCTACTTGTGATAGTCGGACACGACAACCTGTGCAGCCCATGTATTGATTCCATCCGATAGCTGCTATGATACAAAACAAAACGTCTGCCTCTCTCCACAATGATCAATAACAGCGAACGGATGGTCAAAGTAAGGTACAAATAAACAGAATCACACGAAGCCAACCCAGTCTCACGGCATTTCGTGTTATAGTCACGACATTTAATCTATTGATTCGTGTTCACCAACACGATTTTCCCCTTTTTTTCGTATCACACAGAACGATTTTAAAAGCAATGTATTTCTATTGGTAGTATGTTTCCAATATGTTTCAGAATACTGAAATCTGTATTTTTTTAAATCTTTTTTTCCTTCTAATTTGTTATTCTTTTCTAAATAACACACTGTTATTTACTCAACAATAACACACAATTATCCTTGTTTTTATTTATTTGTTTGATTCTATAATCTCTGGCTTTTTTGGCGTCCGTCAGGAACTGAATTTCAAAATAAAATAACTGGAAACAGACGTAGGCCTATAACGGACATTTCGAGCATCATTGCGATACACACCCACTGAACTGATTGCCCAAGATCCTCAGCTATGGTGATTGGATTGTTTAGCCGCAATGCACGTTGGGATATGGTGTTAATGTGATATGAAATTCTAAAAACTTTTTTTTTTTAAAGAAAATAATACTTTATTCCGAGTGTTCTTGCTTTTCTCTTTGGAAGTCATCACATAACGGCATTGTAATACACGGTTCGGCTGCATTAAATATTACATATCTGCCGTAGTTCTTTATTTATAGAGCGCTGATGCGAAGACTTCTTAACAAAGAACTGCCACCGAAACTGAATATGTGACATGGATCATAAATATATCAGCAATTAAACAACATCTTCAATTTCTCTTCACACAATACGTCTCCTTGCAGTATCAACACTATTTCGGCTGACTTTTATATTTGATCCAATTGGTAGATTGTGTAGATTTACACCATAACAGTGCACAGCTGATATAAAAGGACTTGTAGTTTTTAAAGATATTACTGATTTTATTTGAATATAACAATGTGGTTAAAGCACGTTATTTAATTATTTTTTTAACATTTTAAAAAATATATTAAGAGTACATACAAAATAGGGGGAAAATAGTAGGTCAATGATAGAAATATAGAATATAAAAAATCAAGAAGATACTAAGTGATCTCTACAATATAACAGTTTAGTGCCGGAAGTACAAAGATATTAATATGAGAATGTGCAAAACAGAAAAACGAATTAACCTTTATTTAAACATTAAAGAATACTTTAGGTTAAGGTCTTCTTTTAAATAAGAAAAAAGCTTTGGGGGTATCTACAGATAAATATTAAGCCTGACAAAGTACTTAACGTCTAATATATTGCTTTCCTGCAATGTTAACTATGTTGAAGCACTTATTTAGTGGGAATGCTGTTAACAGCATTCCCACTAACTGTTATTCTACGGACGAAAAGTTTATTATTATTCCGCCGGTATTTTGGCCCTCTTCTTCTCCCGCATTGAACATCGCAGAAACTCCGTTCAAACATCAAAACGTTCAGCTCGGTCGGGAATCGATAGCTATTACTTTTCTCATTCATAACTTTTATAATTCCAGAGATACATCCCATAATGCATCACATTTTTAACATTGAAGTCAATGGAGGAAATCTTCAGACTTCAACAAATCTTCATGCGACTTCAACTGCTAACTGTTCATTCATACTTTCACTCAGAAATCTCCTTCCAACTTTAAAATGTTACAAATCTTTCTGACATTATTCGTGTAAAACACGAAATATGATTCTTACTTTTAGAGATATTAACATTTGTTCAGACCTTGTTTTAGAGGTTTTCTTCACATTTTAACATTAACTAGAGTGTGTGATGTCACAGCTAGAGGGTAAGAAATCTTGAAATTTGCCTTCATATATTTTTTTTAAACTGCCATAATTCCCAAACCCTACATTCCTGGGACATAATTTTTCATGATAAACGTAGGAAAACATCTCGTAGCTTGAAAAATGACAAATAATTAAGCAAAAAATAATTAAACAAAATGCTTTTTGAGGGCATGAAGTGACAAAAACGTTCAACATTCATCCATTAAACCCCATTGTAATTTCAGGCAGATATTTCCTCATGGCAGCAGCCGCACACCTTTAGTTAAACTGCCAAAAAGGCCACATTATTAACCCGAAAGTACACAAAAATTACACTTCAGATACTCAACTTCCTTGACATGCTTCACGTTTTGAAATTTCACAGATATCTGTTACGGTTCTTCCACAAAACGTTCACATGTAAGAGGTTTATCTCTCATTCAGAACAATGGAAACCTGTGATCTCTACACACCTCGTTAGCTCAACTATAAACACCTGTGTAATGGAACACGATGATGTCATCACTCCAACTGACATGCAGCAGACTTCAACAGGCCAGGCGTGAAGACATCTTCAGGACAGTTTTGAGATTTCTTCAAATGCCGTTGCCATGGCAACACAATGCTCGCCTTGAAACACGGTTTTCTCATAGCTTCAGTGAAAATACTCCAAACAGCCCAATGCATCTAAGCGTAGTATGGGGTGTCATCAAATGCCGTTGCCATGGCGACAGACCACTCGCCATGAAACACGATGAGGCTGTAAGTCCAATCGACACTGTCCAATCGTCCCCCAATCTTCACTTGTATATCACCGGTCCATGCCTCAAGAGCTCTACGCCAAATCTGAGATCTCACCATATGCCGTTTCCATGGAAACGCATTCCTCGCCATAACACATGATGTCGCTATAACTCCTATGAAAATGTTCAAAAAGTGCTCAAACTTCACATGTGTGCTAACAGTCCAGCCTTGAAGACATCTACGGGACAGTTTTGAGATTTCTTCAAATGCCGTTACCATGGCAACAAAATGCTCGCCTTGAAACACGGTTTTCTCATAACTTCAGTAAAAAACAGCCCAAGACTTCACAGGTTTGGTAACGATGCAGCCATCAACGCATCTAAGCGTATTATGGGGTGTCATCAAATGCCGTTGCCATGGCGACAGATCATTCACCATCAACTTAGTTCAGAAGTTTGCGGTTCAAATATTCTGCTGCTTTTCCAAGCCTTTTTACTTTCTTTTCTTCTCTCATCACACATTCAAGCCCCCAGTGTTCATGTTTCATTTCAATCTAAATTCTTCACTTTCTTCTTACGCATTACATTTCAGCATAGCAGTTTAGCGTCAGCTTTTCAGCATAAAGCATTCCCACTAGCAATTTCTTCAGGAATTGCATTCTCTAGTTTTAACTTATATTATACGAATTATACTCATAAGATGTATGTAGATAGT